TGTAAGTCGAGCGAATGAGCATACATAAAACTGGTTTATCCACATGTTGATATAGATTCAGTGTCTGCATGATATAGCTGGTCTTATATCTGATGCTGTCTGTATACTGTAGCTGTTCCCTCCTCAGCTGCTGTAGGCTACACACAGATGTGATGTGATTCATTGCCAGGTTTACACCACTGGACACCATGTACATCAATAGTCCAGGCCTATGTCAGGCCTATGTCCAGGTTCTCCAGTCTTACTTGACCACAAAGGTGAGGACAAGGTCATTAGGTCAAGCACCTGAAAGCAGGTAGGAATCCCCTGGATCCACATACCCTTGTTATGCAAGTTTTACCTGTACACACATACATCCACAGGCATTGTTTGATGTGTGTCAATACAATGTGTGTTGGAGGTTATACTGAGGGAATTGTGATTCATACAGGACTGGAGTTGTAGCAGGGGTTAAGTTCACACCGTGTTTTGAAGTGTGAAGTAGCTGTGGGGATTGGAGCTGAACCAGCATGCCCATGCATGTGTACTGGGTACTGTAGTACATACAGCTACAATCTGTAATGAGCTGTGGATTACATGTAGTCCTGCAGTGTTCTCTGGATGTGCCCATGGTTGTGTAGTGGGTTACTATACTGGGTATTGTAGTACATACAGCTACAATCTGTAATGAGCTGTGGATTACATGTAGTCCTGCAGTGTTCTCTGGATGTGCCCATGCATGTGTACTGGGTACTGTAGTACATACAGCTACAATCTGTAATGAGCTGTGGATTACATGTAGTCCTGCAGTGTTCTCTGTGTGTGGCCATGGTTGTGTAGTGGGTTACTATACTGGGTATTGTAGTACATACAGCTACAATCTGTAATGAGCTGTGGATTACATGTAGTCCTGCAGTGTTCTCTGGATGTGCCCATGCATGTGTACTGGGTACTGTAGTACATACAGCTACAATCTGTAATGAGCTGTGGATTACATGTAGTCCTGCAGTGTTCTCTGGATGTGCCCATGCATGTGTACTGGGTACTGTAGTACATACAGCTACAATCTGTAATGAGCTGTGGATTACATGTAGTCCTGCAGTGTTTTCTGTGTGTGGACACCTACAAGAGGTTTCACTGTGTGTAGTGACAAGACGGTGTGATGGGCAAGGCTGCTTCAGACCTTCTTCACAGGCAGCATCCTTGGTAAATGTTGGTTAATGGACACAACTCAAGTCCCACAACCATCTGCTTGTTGTGTGGGTGCCCAGATTGACATCTGCTATTTTTGAAGGCATGGAGTCAGAACGCACTCACTCACTCACTCACTCACTCACTCACTCACTCACTCACTCACTCACTCACTCACTCACTCACTCACTCACTCACTCACCTGCTGACTATATTTTGGCCTCATTTGTAACTTGTAGACCTTCTCGCAGTCTTTGTTTACACAAAACATGTTTCATAAACATCAGTCGACAAACTGTCCCCCTCCTGATTGTCTGTCATTCTTCCCGTGACATTCATCACGATCGGCAATGCTATTAATCAAACTCAGCTATATATACAGTACAGCACTTTATGACTGTTGACATTCCTCACAGACATTGTCTGACAGATGTGGACTTTATATAAGTGTATGAAAAGCCCATTGTACACCACAAAGCCTGGAATCGGTGGTCGAGAGATTTGGGTTTGTGAGGTGCAAGCTTTGACACCAAACTAATCTACTTGTGACCTAGTTCTTATCAACACAGAAGATATTGGTTCATTCATTTTATCTGGTGATTACATCTCTACCAATGAAATTCTTTAAATATTCTCTCCACAGTTTATGGTACTGAAAAATTAATGAAAACCTGATGGTGTGAAGAACATGTATTCAAAGTTTTTAAATTAAGAATTTGGACTGAATGAAAATTGTTATGTCTGAAAATGGTTAGCGGCGCTTTCAATATTTGTATTTAACCTGCAGCTTGCAGGTTAGCCCTTATCCAGTGATACTGTAAGATTAAGCAACCAACCATGAGGATTTATGGTGTATCTTTCCCAAGTAAAATGATGTTGAACATAAAGAATTTTCTGGGTTTTGTCATCTGTTTATTGTTTGGTACAACGTTTCAGGGCTTGTTCTGGCCCCATCATCAGTTAGAACTAAAGAACAGTAACTAGTTCTACCAGATGATGGGGCCAGAACAAGCCCTGAAATGTTGTACCAAACAATAAAGAGATGGCGAAACCCAGAAAATTCTTTATGTTCATCAAAGAGCATCTTCTAAAATGCCAATGAAACATAAAATGATGTCATCATTCCATAGTGAGTGTAATGATGACATTCATTCCATAAAGGAAACAGAAAAGAATGTATAGTTTAAATGTATTTTCCTGCCCATCTTCAAATTTTGTGTCTCTAGATCACGTTCTGCACAAATTTAGAAATGTAGAACATTTATAACATATTGTTACCCTCAGAAATGTGTCTCTAATCAGTGGTCAACAAGAGACCTTTTCACGACACATCTGATTGTGTAAAATAGCTCACATTTACCATGAATATATTCAGTATACTAGTGAGTGAAGGAACTCACATTTACCATGAATATATTCAGTATACTGGTGAGTGAAGGAACTCACATTTACCATGAATATATTCAGTATACTGGTGAGTGAAGGAACTCACATTTACCATGAATATATTCAGTATACTTGTGAGTGAAGGAACTCACATTTACCATGAATATATTCAGTATACTGGTGAGTGAAGGAACTCACATTTACCATGAATATATTCAGTATACTGGTGAGTGAAGGGAATGTCTGTTGAAGTGGGTCACTGGCAGTGTCACAGCAACTCAGTCAAGTGTGAAGTTTTCAAACATTAAACACCAGACTGCCAGCCCTGAGGATGATGCATAGATGTTAACATTTATCAGCAATTTGTAGGTAGTTATTCAGAATCAGAACCCACAACTCTCGACATCTCGTGACTGAAAGACTGAAATCATGATCAAATGCTAAACTATTACCTGCGATCAATGAAAATCTGAGATATTTACAGAAAAACTGTAATTCCCAAGATCTTTACAGAGCAAATAATGCTCCTTCTGTCTTTCATTGAGAATAAGAACACTCTACCCTAACCCAACTATCATGATCTCAGGAGCACTTGATGAAATTGTTTGCCACCCCCTTATGCACTCTGGCATGGAGTATATGATTGACAGACATATTCATTCATCACTAAGCGGCGGTGGGGTTGCCTAATGGTTAAAACGTTCGCTCATCACGCCAAAGACCCGGGTTTTATTCCCTATGTGGGTACAATGTGTGAAGCCAATTTCTTGTGTCCCCCTGCTGTGTTAGTGCTGGAATACTGCTAAAGCAGCGTAAAACCATACTCACTTACTCACTCACTCATTCATTCATTCATCACTAGCTTCCCCTTTGAAATATTGTGTTACATCACTTCACCATGACATCAGCTGCAGTGTCAACTTAGCTAAATTATTTCTCTCCTTCATTGTGGGATGTTGCTGAGTTGACATGTTGCCAAACCCTAGACATGTGCATTGAAGGTCTGTCCCCACTCTGTGTGTTGCTGTTACTGTAACCATTTCCTCACTCACATCTCAGTTGTTTTCTTGACCATGATCTGTGACCATACAATTCAAAGCTTACTATTAAAGCTTACCATCGGCATTCAGACCCAATTATAACCCGTGAAGATCCGGGTAAGACTTGATCTTCAGTAACCCATGCTTGTCATAAGAGGCGACTAACGGGATGACACATGTCATCATATCCCAATTACATAGATCGATGCTCATGCTGTTGATCCCTGGATTGTCTGGTCCAGACCCAATTACTTACAGACCTATTGCTGAGTATGGTGTAAAACTAAACTCACTCACTCACCCACTCAGTCCCAATTATTAGCTTAACATTAAACTGTCCTTAAAACTGCACAAACACCAGCTGATTATGATCTACTACTTGAAATGTTAACACCCCTTTGAGAATACCACTCAACCATTAAGCTTGTGTATCTACAAGAGGTGATTATACACTGATGTCAGTTTGTGCTGCCAGAGCAAGGACAGGCCTGATTAAATCCATATCCTGACCTTATCTGTCATTGTATGTAAATGGCAAGGACGAACCAGTGACACATTACCTGCCGTACATTACCTGCGGTACATTACCTGCCTATTGTTTCAGTGGTAATCAACAGCTGGCAGACACAAGCTGAATGCTGCACACACTCTATTTGTGTACTTGTGTTACTTAGGGAGACTTGGTGACCTGTATTTAATGAATAACTTACATGCTTGGTCAACAGTGTTAAGGGAGGCATGGTGAAAATACCAGGGAGGACAAGCAGGTATTCTCTGTGATATCTGGAACTGCTTTGTGTGTAGGTGGGGATGTTATATTGGCTATGTCTTGTAGCAGACGTCAATGATTTATACCCATCACATTGCACATTGAAGCATGTGTTACAGAAATACAGGTGTTCCTCCAGCAATAGCAGAATGATCAGTCTTGTTTTGAATGAAGGAGTGATCAATGTTTGTGTGACAATGCACCACAATTGGGGAGCACGATCAATACATAGATGAGAGCAGTGAAACACATTCCCCATTTTCTGAACTCAAGGCATGCTAATTAATGTCGATAAATATTTCTGCTGTCATGACAATCTTTGACATGTTTCTTTGTCTCAATACCTGATATGTGAAGGACATTCTCTTGACAACACTGGCCAGACACACGTCACTACAACAAGGCTTGGTGAGATTCATGCTTGTATACAACATGACCTGGTGACATCAATGCTTGTATACAACTTGGCCTTGTATACAACATGGCCTGGTGACATCAATGCTTGTATACAACAAGCATACACTTAGTGAGATTCATACAGACACATGCTGCATTGTCTCTTTACTCAATTCTTTGCATTAATGCCATTTTTTGATCAGTGAAAAATACTTATCATTTGTCTGTCTTTTTTGTAGACCACCCATCGGTTCACAATCAACCTTCCTCGCAACCAGAAGATGGTCACTCGGATTAGCCCTGAAACAAACTTGGGACAGCTGTATGCTCATGTCTGCAGAGAGAAACATCTTGATCCCAAACGCTTCACTTTCCAACACCCCACCAACCCTCATGGCAGCCTTGACCTGAGGGTTGTTACTGTGGGTGACCTCAAGAGCAATGAAATAAATCTCATTCCTTTGGGTAAGTAAATCTAGTCATAATTCTAAGTCTGTATTGTTTGTACTTCAAGTTTTACTTTCCAATTACCTGGGGACTTGTCAGTTGATTTATGTTCCTGATTACATTCAGGCATGTCCATAACACTGCAGCCTAAAGTGACACGAGTACTATGCAGAAGTCCAGATAAGCTGCGTATCTGTGTGAAATATCATGAATGAATCACCTTACCCAATTTACTTGGCGTTGCTTCCTGGTTAGAATTGATCTTCAGCAACCCATGTTTGTCATAAGAGGCGACTGACAGGATCAGGTGATCAGGCTCGCTGACTGGGTTGACACTTATCATCACATCCCAGTTAACGTTGCTTAGACTGATGCTCATGCTGTTGATCACAGGATTGTCTGGTCCAGACTTGATTAGTGCTGCGTAAAACTGAACTCACTCACCCACTCACACTTAGAGTTGCTGACATATCAATACAATTAATTGTTAATGACACTTACAATAGACTGGAGCCAGAGGAGTAGAAATATATTGAACAATGAAAGAAACTATCAATCCTGGAGCTGTTTTTGATGATGGAAATGCTGAATGAATATCTTCTGTACTGATTTTAAGGACATTAGGCATCTTAAGACAAAGACTGAGACTGTTTCTCTGGTTTTCAAAGCAGCAGGGTATTGGGGGGGGGCAGTGCTTGCTACTGATTTTAGATGTCGGCTTGTGGCAGCCTCAATGGATATTGAAAGCACTTGCATCAAGAGACCTCATGCTACACTTTTGACAACTAGTACAGCCCACAGTAGTTTACACTGTTGGCGGCCATGTTTCATAGTTGTAATATTGCTGGTTGTAGTTTAACACCTCTGCACATACTAGTACTTATGTACAGATAGCCTTGTGTTTAAGGTTTTCGCTTCACAGCCCAAAGTTCCCATTTTGATTCCCCACATCGTAACAATATGAAGCCAATGTTACTGATAGTTTGAATAGAGCTTGAGAGGGTCTGAGGGTGAGTTTACTTAATATGTGACATGACTTTAATCAATAACTTGTTTAAACTTTCATTTTACTATTTATGTGAACATGATTGAGTTTGATTGCCTCTCTGACTCAACTAAGGTCATGTAGGTTAATCAAAGGCATGTGTTAAGTGCAGTAACCTTTGGAAGGGACAATTGATTATGAGTCCATTATATCACACATGCAGCAGTCAGTAAGTTTATTGTCAAACATTATATTTGCAATATATCTTTGACAATATAACAGAAAGCGTGTTGACGTTAAACACAGAACTTTTGGTCAACAAGTTTTGTACCATGGAGGATGCCTGCACAGTGAACAATCAGTTTTCAGTGGTATGGCTGGTTTTAAGAAGGTCTGTTTGACACTTTTCAAGGACAAATCACTATGACCTTCACCTAAAAGTTTTATTAAATGGTACATGAAAGTGCTTTCAGTTTTTACAAGGACTTAATTTAAAAGTCTTCTTGTTATGCTAACATGGCCTTTTGAATTTGACAAGGGCATATCTGTTATTGAGAAGTCCACCCATATGTCTAGAGTTAACTGATGGGTACATAGTGAACCTGGACAGAAGATCTGTCACATATATTCTGCCATGTGTCTAGAGTTAACTGATGGGTACATAGTGAACCTGGACAGAAGATCTCTCACATATATTCTGCCATATGTCTAGTGTTAACTGATGGGTACAAAGTGAACCTGGAAGATCTCTCACATATATTCTGCCATATGTCTGGAGTTAACTGATGGGTACATAGTGAACCTGGACAGAAGATCTCTCACATATATTCTGCCATATGTCTGGAGTTAACTGATGGGTACAAAGTGAACCTGGACAGAAGATCTCTCACATATATTCTGCCATATGTCTAGAGTTAACTGATGGGTACATAGTGAACCTGGACAGAAGATCTCTCACATATATTCTGCCATGTGTCTAGAGTTAATTAATGGGTACATAGTGAACCTTGACAGAAGATCTCTCACATATATTCTGCCATATGTCTGGAGTTAACTGATGGGTACATAGTGAACCTGGACAGAAGATCTCTCACATATATTCTGCCATATGTCTGGAGTTAACTGATGGGCACATAGTGAACCTGGCACTGAAGATCTCTCACATATATTCTGCCATATGTCTGGAGTTAACTGATGGGCACATAGTGAACCTGGACAGAAGATCTGTCACATATATTCTGCCATATGTCTAGAGTTAACTGATGGGTACATAGTGAACCTTGACAGAAGATCTCTCACATATATTCTGCCATATGTCTGGAGTTAACTGATGGGTACATAGTGAACCTGGACAGAAGATCTCTCACATATATTCTGCCATATGTCTAGAGTTAACTGATGGGTACATAGTGAACCTTGACAGAAGATCTCTCACATATATTCTGCCATATGTCTAGAGTTAACTGATGGGTACATAGTGAACCTGGACAGAAGATCTCTCACATATATTCTGCCATATGTCTAGAGTTAACTGATGGGTACATAGTGAACCTGGACAGAAGATCTCTCACATATATTCTGCCATATGTCTGGAGTTAACTGATGGGTACAAAGTGAACCTGGACAGAAGATCTCTCACATATATTCTGCCATATGTCTAGAGTTAATTAATGGGTACATAGTGAACCTTGACAGAAGATCTCTCACATATATTCTGCCATATGTCTGGAGTTAACTGATGGGTACGTAGTGAACCTGGACAGAAGATCTCTCACATATATTCTGCCATATGTCTGGAGTTAACTGATGGGTACATAGTGAACCTGGACAGAAGATCTCTCACATATGTTCTGCCATATGTCTAGAGTTAACTGATGGGTACGTAGTGAACCATTGAAAAGATCTTCTATATATTCTGCTATGTGTAGTTACATTAGTTGCCTGTGAACTATCCACCAATGGTGAGAGCTACTGCTGCCATATACCTGGGGGGCAAATGCTGTCCTAGTTCTCAGCAATAAATCCCGAGGAATGTGTGAGGGCAGGAGACATTATCTCTGAATATGAAAACAAATAAGAATGTTTGGTATGCTTCTGTAATTAGTTTAAAGGTGTGTGCTTGAGTTGTATTGACTGTGTTACTGCCATGTCTCAACGGTCTTTTTACGACAGATAAGTCAGGGAATGGCGTACCAGAGTTAACTCATCATATTTAACATAAAGTAATACAAAAGCAAATTAGGACTGATTTTGTGTCAGTTTACATATTGCATAATGAGTGAGAGGAAGTGCCACAATATTTTTTCAACAATGATTTTAATTTTGTTGTAACCTGTCCAGTGACATTTCAGTATTGTAACCTTGTAGTGTTGCATTAATGCATTGTAAAGTTGTCATGGGATGTTAATACATTGATATCTTGCAAACTTGTTGTGTAGTATTAATTCATTGTGAATGACACTAATGCCCCATGACCTTATGACATGACTTTGTTGAATAATGTTAATGCTTCATCACCATCTTGAATGATGTTGAAGCATTGTCACCTTGTTGAATGATGTTGAAGCATTGTCACCTTGTTGAATGATGTTGAAGCATTGTCACCTTGTTTAATGATGTTGAAGCATTGTCACCTTGTTGAATGATGTTGAAGCATTGTCACCTTGTTGAATGATGTTGAAGCATTGTCACCTTGTTGAATGATGTTGAAGCATTGTCACCTTGTTGAATGATGTTGAAGCATTGTCACCTTGTTGAATGATGTTGAAGCATTGTCACCTTGTTGAATGATGTTGAAGCATTGTCACCTTGTTGAATGATGTTGAAGCATTGTCACCTTGTTGAATGATGTTGAAGCATTGTCACCTTGTTGAATGATGTTGAAGCATTGTCACCTTGTTGAATGATGTTGAAGCATTGTCACCTTGCATTGTCACCTTGTTGAATGATTTTGAAGCATTGTCACCTTGTTGAATGATGTTGAAGCATTGTCACCTTGTTGAATGATGTTGAAGTATTGTCACCTTGTTGAATGATGTTGAAGCATTGTCACCTTGTTGAATGATGTTGAAGCATTGTCACCTTGTTGAATGATGTTGAAGCATTGTCACCTTGTTGAATGATGTTGAAGCATTGTCACCTTGTTGAATGATGTTGAAGCATTGTCACCTTGTTGAATGATGTTGAAGCATTGTCACCTTGTTGAATGATGTTGAAGTATTGTCACCTTGTTGAATAATGATAATGCATCAGTACCTTTTCACATGGTTCTAATTTTAAAAACAACTGAAAATAAATTTAAGTTTTTGGAAATATATATTTTTAGATTATCATCATTCACGTGAAAACATATGAAGGCAACAAGAATGACTCATGTGACATAATGTATGTAATTTGAGTTAACAAATTTGTTCATCTGGTCAATTACATCTTATGTTTATAGGTTTAGTTGCTGACTCAGCACGATCGATGCCGGATCTCTCTCGTAGTGAGTCTTTAACTCTGCCTAAAGACTCAATCCCTTCCTACATGCCGGGGGCATCGGAGCCGAAGAAGAAAAGAGGTTTCCTTTCATTCCTCAAGAGGAAGGATAACAAATTTAAACTGGTTTGTATAAATCTGCTCCATACATATACTGATCATAGACATAGAGCTTGTAACGCAGCCAATCATCCTGATAGTTTTCTGACATGTACATTATGTGGGAAGGGAGATAACTTGTGTTTTGCAGATTCCATTCACATCACAGAATTTTCTTCAAAACAAACTATAACTTTTGTCCAGTCAAACATCAACAGCAAATGTGTATCAAAGAGCTGTGTATACAATTCAACAGTAGAACCTAGGTGTTGCAGTTCAAATGTCAAACTTCCATGCAAGTCTTCAAAGGTCTCATCCAGGTTTACTTCCCAGTAGTATCTCTCACAATGCTAAGTAGGTTTATAATGGGGAATTACAGGTGTCCAGTACCTCACACTTGTCATGCTGACTTGGTAACATATCAGATGATCCTTCTTATTTCACACAATCATTCCCTGGACTTTTAAAATTACTGTTAAAATAGTATGCTTTATAGTGCATCAAATGGTAATAAAACTATGATGATAAATAGGATAATTTATGTTTGGCAGCATGAGACAAGATACCAGGACATGGAAACTAGCTCGACAACAAGTAATCAAATGTCAATGGCCAGAACACGACAGAACATTACACCACCTCCAGAACGTCGAGAATCGGATGCAGCCAACATGCAGGTGCGACCTAAATCGATGTTCGTCACAGCCAAAGAGTTGAAGGTTAATGATGGAGCATCATCTTCACAGGGCAAAGAAAACACACTTCCTCTCAAAACAGCCACAAAAAAGAAACGGCCAGCACCTCCACCCCCTCAGCAACAGAAACAAGCAGTGCCAGAAACAGTTGAGATTTCCGTGAAGGACAAAACATCCGTTGTTGTGCATGAGAAGAGAGAAGCGGTTTCCAGGGTTACTCCCGACCACGTGACGCAGAGACTTCATTCCCGCAATAGCTCTGACTCGAGTGGATATCATGAACTGACACTGAGCGGAGCAGAGTCACCTGAGGCAAATCGTGTTTCAACAAATTTCAAAACAAGCATAGACACTACATCCATTGAGAGTGCTGATAACACCAATGGCGACAGTGGTATCAATGAACATTCCCCTGTACACAGCTCCCCCAAATACCCTGACAGGGCCACCGGCGATAGCCAGACATTGCCGCTTAACAGGATGGCTAAGAAGCAAGTTCAGAGATCACATTCTCTAGAGAGAAAGGAAAAGCCCAACAGGCCACCGCCACCATCTACGAAGAAGAAGAGAGCTCCAGCACCACCCCCAGGTAGGTCCTGTCAACACTCTGTCCTGCTTATGTAACTGGCTTCTGAAAGTGTCGTTGCTAGCATTGGGGACGGCAGTACCTGACATATCTATTTGATATTCCTTTTCTGACCTTTGAATCAGCAATACTGTTTTAATATTTTATGATAATAGGTGAGTGATTGTTGTGTTTTTTCTTGAGATCAGATCTTTTCTGCATCAGTCCTTTTCTTATTGCTGTTTTTTTTTGTGAAGTTGGTTGGCTGTAGTCTAGACTGAACATGGTTAAGTGCAAGTTATGTGAAAAAACTCATTGCCATTTTGTTGTGAATATCAGTTCATTATAGAGATGCATTGTGTCAATTCACATGAGAAAGTAATTCTCATTCACAGAAAGTATTTAAGTGATCTGGCCCCGATTTCTCGAAACAAACTTAAGTCTGAGTTTTGACTTAAGTTCGAATTTGTACTCAAATTTGAGAAAACGCATTTCCCAGAATGCACATAATCGATATTAAACTCAAATATAGTAGACAATTTGAGTTTGGTGAATAGAATACTTAAGTTGTTTGGGCTATTTTATTTAAAAAATGCAGCTGAGTTCAAAATTCAGCTGTTTCAAATTATCAAACTCAGTTTGAAGTTTGAGTAAAAACTTAAGTTTGTTTCAAGAAATCGGGGCCTGTCCGCGTGAAAGAGCTGAGTCATATGGTCTATAATCAGATGCCAAAACTTGAATGTTTGGTAGCATGTCATTAAGGCAGCAATATGTTCAGTGGTGTGTGAGAAATGTTTTGAAAGATATGTGGACTTACTTACAGCTAAAGGCCTTGTCAGTATTGTTGTTAATAAGGCTTCCATTGAGCTAAGGTGTAGACACAGTAATCAAATAGACAAACTGACAGTAAAGCCCTGTAAAGTTAAATCTGAGGTAAAAGCAGTCTAAGCTAGCCCCAAACTGTGAAGCTTGTCATACACTAAGAATCTGTTTTAAGCCTCATGGCAGATTTTTTGTTCACACTTTTGCTTAATTTTGGTGAAGCAGTTTTGATTAAGTATGGCCTTAAGCACCACAGTTATTCAGATGTAGCTGTTGCACTCACTGTTTGCTTGGTTTGTAGTTGTAAATATATTTTGGAATACTATTTGAGTTTAGATTATAAAAAAAGCTGCAGGTAAATAAACTCAATAGTCACACCTATATATTGATTTATGGTTATTGTAATACATTGTATATGGGTTTGTTATTGTTATAGTCATACTCCCAAAATGTTGAAGGCATATATAACATGTGTAATATATCATGTGTAGTGTAATATATCATGTGTAATATATTATGTGTGACATTGTAAGAATGTTTAGAGATTGTTAACCTTCTGTGTTATTATTAGAAATAGAAAAGAAGCATTTTGCTCACCAAAGACTCACACAATACAGTTTTTATCCATGACTATTATGGTGAGATTTAGACAGGGTCAGTCATCTCTATTTATTATCCGTGCCCACATGTCAAGTGACCTAGTATTTATACGGGTCCATGCACGATGTAAGTGATATGTTGTGATGCATATCAACATATCACACTGATATCTACAACAGATGAATATTGTTTGGGTTGTATTGACAATACATATTATGTATGCCTTCAACACAATGAATGACATATACAGCCAATATATATATACCTCTCTCCTCAGTTGCTGATCCTCCTCCCCCCACCCCATCTACCCCTCCTAGTCACATCCCCGAAGCTTCTCAGGACCACACCCTAAGTACCTCACCCTCCGAAGCTATACAGCTGACAAAGGAAACATGTAAGTCCTCATCTAGCATGCTGTATATTGTCTGTACAATGACTGAACAGGACTGAGGATATAGTAAGTAACATTTATGGCATTGGTATTTCTATGAATTTCTCCCATTTTATCTTTGCTGTGTCCTCATAGCAAGTCTTTTATTGATATTCTCCTGTTTTCTGTGAAGAATATGCTTGCACATCGATGTTGGCTCTATAGGTTTTAATTCAGTCAGTTGTTTCAGAGCATTGGTAATTTCTATTCATCTGAACCAAAGTTTCATTCAAAGTGTTGTCCAGCATCTGTCCATTGTAAACTTTAAGTCTGTGTTGTATATACAGCTGTCCCAATTAACTGTGTACTTGAGTACAGTGATCTCATCACCTGAAAAACATAATGATGTCAGAGTAAAAGAGAATGTCTGATACCGATACCCTATGTTTTATAATGGAGAAATATAGAAATGTGGAATGACACTTAAATTGCATCATTCAGATACTGTTGTATTACCAGTCCCAATACTGTAGTGAAGTAAGTGCATGTACTTACTAATACAGGTGAGCTACAGTCTATTCATACCATATTTAGGTTCTTATACTTTCATTGTTTTGATGTTTATCATTTGCTATGTCAAAATGTTGAGTAAAACATAAGGTTTCATTAATGTTGGATGTGATAGTATCTTATGTCAATCCAGAAGAAGACATTATGATGTGTATATTTCCTTTCAAAATGTATATTTATGTTTGTTCTGTTTATGTCCATATAAAAAAAATTAATGGCAGCAACAATTTCCTTTTGAGATTGAAACTTTTTCATTTCATCATTTTCAAGGGAGAATTAAGCCCATGTGGATAGTAATATTACTGGTTGGACAGTACGTTGGTTAAAATGTTACTCTTTTCAGACATGTATAACTGGAAATGATTAACATTATGAGGCCTTAGATGAGTTTATAGATAAGGAAGTGACATTTGTTTGTTTTAAAAAAAACTTAAATATGGTCCTTATTACTTTGGGCATTATTTTTCTAGACTGCATGCTTTTGATGTAGTCAGAATGATAGGATATGATAATGGAAAGTGTTTTCAATGCAAGTACTGTCAGCAGATGAACATCTATTGATCATGGTTATTGAGCATACTATATTTTATAAATACTAGTATATCAAATGTGATTCTTTCTACAGTATCTGCTAACGAAGACATAACTGACGGCAAAATGGATACCGATGATGACAGCGAGGATATCAATGAGACATTGGATGGTTTACTGATGATGGTGGAGGATGACTCTATATGCAGTGAGGATATTGAAAATATCGAGCAGCCAAAAGCACCACGCCCTTGCTCCTTTGTTGCCCCTCCCCCTCCTAGTGAACCCCCACCCCCCAAAACTCCAACGACTGAGACAGTGGATGTTGGTGTAGAGGTTCATGATAATGCATCTCTCGGCCCATCCAGTGCCAAGAGTTCTCCAATAGCCGGTGAGTGCCCTTCCTAATGCTTGCTATTGTTTCTGTTGTGTAAAGCTGTCAGTTATACTTGCTAGAACAATCAATACTGCTGAACAGCCTCCAATACTCAGAAATACTTGCTAGTACAATCAATATAGCTGGACAGCCTTCAATACTCAGAAATACTTGCTAGTACAATCAATACAGTTGGACAGCCTTCAATACTCAGAAATACTTGCTAGTACAATCAATATAGCTGGACAGCCTTCAATACTCAGAAATACTTGCTAGCACAATCAATACAGCTGGACAGCCTTCAATACTCAGAAATACTTGCTAGTACAATCAGTATAGCTGGACAGCCTTCAATACTCAGAAATACTTGCTAGTACAATCAATACTGCTGAACAGCCTTCAATACTCAGAAATACTTGCTAGTACAATCAATATAGCTGGACAGCCTTCAATACTCAGAAATACTTGCTAGTACAATCAATATAGCTGGACAGCCTTCAATACTCAGAAATACTTGCTAGTACAATCAATACTGCTGAACAGCCTTCAATACTCAGAAATACTTGCTAGTACAATCAATATAGCTGGACAGCCTTCAATACTCAGAAATACTTGCTAGTACAATCAATACAGCTGGACAGCCTTCAATACTCAGAAATACTTGCTAAAGTACTGTCGGAAATAGAAAAAAACGTTTTTTAGGCTGTTACTCTGTATCCCTAAAATTTACACAATTACAAATAGCATAAGTTGAAATAAACCACATCGGCCTAACTGGGCGTTCAGTGGGATGCGTAATAAGATATCCAGAAAAGCATGTTTACTCGTAAAATCGGGCAAAACTTAGAAAAAATACGAACAGCTGCTGAAAACAATAGATCAGACTATAGATGGCATTTAGGTCGCTCAGCCAGGTATGACAACAGACCGTCAACTCACTTGGCATGAAATGCAAGTGCTGCCCACAGACACAAGGGGTCATCTCAAATATCTTTTATGCTTTTTCATGTGTACTGAATATGTCTCTACTGATTATCTAATCTTAGCTAATATCTCTATACCCAAGCCCGACCCCAACTTCCGTCAGAAACACCCGTCTTGGTTTTGCTTTTGAAACGACCCCTTCTACCTGTTCCTTGTTATAGTGATAGTGAGACTCCATGGTAGCTACATCCTTCATAGTTTCAGTATTAAAGTTATTATTGTTTATGTCAGCTATCGTTTATAATGAAGCTAAGTTTAATTTCAAAATGGACATTAAAAAATTGTCCCTTGTAATATAATATCATCGCACACTAATTTGCATAAAGCCATGGCCTGTTCCAAATAAGTCGCTTTGGACTTAGAAAAAAACACATTTCTCATTTCTGCATTAATCTCTCCTCAGTAAAGTCATGTTTCTACATTTCCTATCTCCCTACCACTGAGACTGTAGTTAGGCCGAACTTAGTTCAACAGATATTTCACACTTGCACATATTAACTACATAAATTGTAGATATCAATGCGAAAAAACAGGTTTTTTTCTATTTCTGACAGCACTTTAGTACAATCAATACTGCTGGATAGCCTTCAATACTCAGAAATACTTGCTGCTACAGTCAATACTGCTGGACAGCCTTCAATACTCAATAATGCTTGCTAGTACAATCAATACTGCTGAACAGCTCTCAATACTCAGTAATACTTGCTAGTACATTCAATACTGCTGAACAGCCTTCAATACTCAGTAATACTTGCTACTACAGTCAATACTGCTGGACAGCTCTCAATACTCAGTAATACTTACTAGTACATTCAATACTGCTGAACAGCCCTCAATACTCAGTAATACTTGCTACTACAGTCAATACTGCTGGACAGCTCTCAGTACTACAGGTGATTTATGATACAGGAAGGCTTTTACAGGAACTACATTTCATTTTTGTCTTCTAATTTTGAAGATACGAAAATCATTGATAATGATTTAGAAATCCCAAGATAAAGTGTTTTTTTGTAAATGACTGTTGTGTGCTGTTCCTGGATTTTGATATACCGAGATACTTATGAACCAAAGACTGGTAGTTCATGTAAGTTCCTCCTTGTCAAGACATGAAACAATATATTACGTTATTGCATATAATTTTGTGTGTTTCCTTTTCAATTGTGTTTTTGAAGTTTTTATGTACCTATTTTGTGTTGTATCACTTGATATTTGAATAGCCCCACCAATAGTAACACTGTTGACCGTAGTTGACCGTGGTTGTCCAATAGAGTAGTCACTATCTGAGATCTGAATTTGTGCCTCAAGTTCAGGAGGAAAGTTATTTATCCAGAAACAATAATTCCTGCCAACTTTTCAACAAAATCTGCTGGTTGTCATACCCTTCCAGTAAGACATCCCCACCATTTTCTAGAACACCTGGTGTCAGTATTTGATAGTGCTTAGAATTATCAGATATTTGGCAAGATTGAATGGCACAGAAAAATAAGACAACTGTTACAAAATGTATTGTAGAGACGTATATTAAGTGTTTTATACATTTGACAAGAAGCAGATAGTTATGTTCATGTTACTGGAGTTTTCCTGCATGGTAAATGTCGAGACAAGTCAGTTACAACGACACAGCTGCAGCACTGTTCAACACAGTTACACCTACGATATTCAGAAGATGTTTTATGTTTGTATATGCAATGATATATTTCTCTCTCTCTGTCTTCCACTTCTTCAACCTTTCTTCCTTCCATCCCCAATACAGTCCACACCCATTCTCGGACAGGCAGTCACTGCAGTATAAGTTCCATAAATACTATCGAAGATGTTAACATGGCGTTTGAACAAACAATCGCCTTGGCAGAGGAAGTACTCGAGGCAGAGGTCCCAGGTAGTTCACGAGTCCACCACTAGGGGGGGCAAGCTTTTGGCCCTATTAGATTTGCACTTGTGTGTTGTGGCTAGAGTTACTTCCCTTGAATGTGCTTTTTCTGCTTCAGTTGCCTATCTTCACATCTTTTCCTGTGATAATCAGATTCTGTTTCAGACTGTTACTATGTTACTAGTGATCTGAACTTGTATTGATGTGTGTCTTGAGGAGTTTTTCAGCTGGTTGTTTTCTTTTGAATTATCAGTTTATAAACCAGTATGTCAATGGTGATCCATCTTTCCACTTAGTCCCTTGAAACCACTGAACATGTATATTTGTACACAAACTCCACAAAATAGTCATTTGTATAAGATAAGACAATAATGAGATAAAATTGAATATGTGAAGATAAATGCATACATAGTTGCCATTATTTCTTGCTTGTTATTCTCAGCTGTAGAATCACAAGATTCTAAACACCGGGTTTTGTTCACTCAAGCATGTTCAGTGGTCTAAGTGATGTCAACATAAAAATAGCAGTACTTTGTTTTTGTATATAGATGTGTCTAACATTAACTTGTTTCCTTTCTTTATTGATGGTAATACAACAAATCTGAAGTTTTACATAAACACTAGTTTTGTAAGATGCACATTAAACCAACTAATCTAACAATATAGTTTTCATATTGAATGTACAAGTATTAGGACTTTGTATTATGTCATGTCTGTAGTTATCTGTCATTTTCTGTTGCTAAGTTACCTATTGGCCAGTCTATGTCATGAGTATTGCTTGTACTGTTATATTGTAAATGCTCTTAAACTGAACTATTTTGCATTGTTTATTACTGTAGCTTTATTAGATAAACCTGCTTCATACTGTGAGATGTGGACACACTGTAGATGGGTTTGGGATTAGATATTGTAGAATTTTTGGTTTCCATTTTTCTACATTTTGCTTACTAAGTCATTCATTCTGGATCATATACACTTAAAAAAGTAGGGGAACTTCATGATGAATTTATGATTTTCATTTTCAAAACAAAAAACAAAAAGCTAGAAACAAACACTAACAACTGTGTGAGGCAAGATGATTGTCAAAATTAATGGTTTACAGTGATTTATCGACCTTGAAAACTGTCAAATCAAGAATGACACCCCATGCATGTGTATGGGGCTAGTGCATTGTGCACATGCATCCCATGCATTGTGTTTAGGGGTGGTGATAAAGAGAAATGGTGTTGCGTTCATAAGATGTCTGTCTTTGAAAAGTTTGTTAACGCTTATCCAAACTGAAAGTTCAGGTTCCCCTACTTTTTTTAAGAGTATATCTTGAGACTTTTTTCTGTAGATGGTTAAGTTTTAAATGGTTTTGAAATGATAGCATGTCCCATAAATTATGAAATTGTTGATTAATGTAAGTGTATTTCTCAGTCAATAACACAGTTATTGTTTTGTAAAGGATTTTGTATCATTTTTTTATAAACTTAATTTTAACGCATATGTTTATGTAGTGATTCACGTAAAGTTGAACTACTGTGAATCAAAAGGAACAATACTTACTGATGATAACTTGTGTATTGCAGCAGAAACAGGCTACAGGTCGGAGATGGCGATTTTCGTGGAGCAAATGAGCAAGCTGACAGAGAAGGCCGACTCCCGAGACTAACATGTCTGACACTACTAGCATCTCACTTCCAGATACGGAGAGTAACTCTGAGACAGGCTCTGTCATTCGACATGAACAGGAGGGGAAGCTGTACCATTCCAAGATGGATTCCTATTCCTCGGACTCAGGTTCAGTGCAGAAATACGACAGTGAAGACCGATCTCATGGAGGGTCTACAGATGCCAGTAGCTATGATGATGTTCCGGTAACAGAAGTACAACAATCACGTGCTAGGCGTGATTCTCTTGAAATTCATCGTGAAACATTGTTGCAGATAACGAAGTGTCGGAAATTGATGTTCCCATGGAAATGGTTCCTCCTCCAGCTGAGTTCAGGAATGATCCTGAAGAGGAAGAAGAAATGCAAGAGGAAGAAGAAGAAGAAGAATACAGAGAATCTACAGAAGAAATAATTGTAACTATGGCACCTTCAAGTAGTTTTACTTTTGCTGGTGCTTACAAAATTCCTGACTTGGAAACACCTAAAGAACATTCCAGTTTACCAGACTCTCCTCGATTTTGTGTTGCTGAGCCTTCATTATCTTACTCAACATCTAAAAGTGATCAGAATTCTACAAACTTCTCTGACCCTAAACCTCAAAATGTGGTGAAACCTGCAAGAGAGAAAGAAGAATTTGTTCTGACACGTGAAGATTTGGCTAAGATTAAATATGTTGAAGATAACAAATGGAGATCTGAGCCATATGTTGAGACAGCAAGAAGGCCAACATCAATCAGTAGCTTGACCCAGGTGTATCAGGATGAGCCAGAACCTGCAGTGTCCTATGCATCATTTGAACCAAGTTATTCTAAACCTGAAAGTATTCAAGGGTCCAGGTCAGAAGAGGAAAATGTTAAAACAAGATGTTCTGAACTGAGCTTCAGACCCAATTCTGAGGGGGAGATTGATAATGTCCTTGAAGAGAAATCGATTTCTTTAATTGCCTTGCCAGCCATGAGAACAAGTGTCCTGAAAAAGTCGGATGAGGAATATTTGACAACATTAAAACAGGAATCCTACCAATCATCAGTTCCAGAAACAATGTCAGCAAGTGATCGTGAAATGAGAAGCAAGTTCTTTGATGATGATGATGATGATGATGATAATGATGATGAGACTGATAATATAGTGCAATCAAGAAAGGTGTTTATTTCAGAGGGAAGTGAAGATAAAGGGAGTGCAGAGGAAGAAAATGAAGAGATTACAAAGCAACAGGCAGCACTCCAGACTCAGTATGAAATTCTGCAGCAACAGTTTACTATGTGGCAACAACAACTCAAGCAGAACCAGGACCTCCTTGCCAGTCAACATATTGACCCAGAAGTCCAGAGCATGCAAGAAATTCAGATCCAACAAATGCAGCAGCAGATGCAGATCCAGCAGCAGATGATGTCACAACTAGAGAGGAGCATGGAAGCCCTGGCCCTGCAGAAGAAGCCCAAGTCAGGCCAGCCCTCAACTGCTGCTTCAGCCTCAGCATCTGTTGTAGAAGCATCACCTGAATGTTCCGGAGAGGGTATTGGTAGGTTGTCAATACCTACCCCACCTCCACCACCACCAGTCACAGTTGTGAAGAAAACTGTTAAGAGAGTCAACAAGGAGGAGGACCCAAGATTTCAGAGGAAGTTAGACCCTCGTGAGGAGCTCATGATAGCAATCAGAAGCTTTGGAGGAAGAAGTAAACTTGCAACTGTAAGTTGATCATTTAAATGTTACTCTGACCACCTAAAATATACTTGAACATTAAAACATTTAATCATCTTCAGATCAACTGGTACTGAAAAAATAATATTTCTTTTAAATTGCTAATTCAAGGAGAAATAATTTTGGAGAAGGATTATATCGATATGATTGGTTTCATTCTGTTATGCTACTTGCCCTTTTGTGTGTACTGATCTATGTCATATTTTTTCAGGTATCAATCCAAAGCACACACTGGCAAGAAGGGTCTTCATGAGGGTGCTTTGGTAGAGAATCAAAAGCCAATCAGTGCTAGGATCAAAAAGGTCAAGGTCACAATATTTTACCATAAATGTATAGTTCATTCTGTTCTGACAAAGCCGATTTTATACACACTCTTTGTCAAATAACCCAAAAGAACACACTGGGGGCAAGTACAAAACATGGTCCGGTATTGTTCTTTATATAGAATCTTTCAGATCAGATGAATTGTTCAGGTAATTCTCACGGACAACTATATACGGTTAATCTTTGAGCATTGTATTAATTATATATGAAGCAGGTTGCTATTCATCTTCACACCATCTTAGTCAGACAAACTGAAGAGACAATGTGATTCCAAGCAGCTAAGTGGAGATACACCAACAGCAGCAAGCTCATCCTACTGGCGTATCAAGGAGGACATATGTGTTTCGGCAGGACCTCTGTTCTGAAGTCACCTTTCTGGTGTTGCTTGTAGTAATGACATGATTTGTAGATCAGGACTTGGGAGACTTTCTACATCTTCTGGACTGTATACATTGAAACACAGGATGGCTTGTGACTGGGGATACTGGATGATGAAACATGGGTGACAGAAACTGCTCCAGCTAATAACAGGCCTGTGAGGTTCCGGCTCTGTCAGACGTCCTGTACTATCCTTAAGCCTGCCATCTTGGTGATAAAGCTGCAAGCATGAGTGTTTCATGTACTGACTTAAGAATGATATGAGCTTGTTGAATGTGGAGTTATAAGAGGCTTGTACTAGAGGTGGCAGCATTCTTTCAAATCCAAACGATTTGTCATATGTCGGAAGACACCATCGTTGGCAACAATGATGTGCGAAAATACAATAAAGACACAATTCACAACATGTGAATACCAAAATCATACTTCCCAGTTATTAATCCACCAAGTCAGCTGCATATGTACCTCTAGCTTGTGGATCATGCTTTCATGAAACCATCTTTTATAAATATGATAGCATGGTTGCTAACTGTTTGGTGCAATCACGTTAAAGTTTGTCAGTGTTTATATACACAAAACAGTTATTGTTCATTATACAAGGCAGGGTTGCCTGAACAACGAGCAGTAATCCTTGGTATCCAGTTTACTGTTTCTACTGTCACATCCCAATCATGTATCTATTATCTGTTCTATGTTAGGACATATTTACTGTGTTTTGAATTAGTATTGTGTTGAGTTATGACTAAATTTTATTTGCTAAAGGGACATAATTATTTCAGTATCATCAAGCTATACTCTGTAGTAACGTCATATAGGGCATATCTATTGAATTAAGTTACCAATGGAAAACTGTGCATTAAGCCATTGTTTATGTATAATCTGTTAGATGTCAACACTTTATGGAATGTCATATGCTACTTAAAGCAGTGTGGACAATGGCCATACACCAGTAGACATTATGTGAAAAAGCAGCAGTTCTCATGGGTACAAGATTTACAGTGAGATAGGACTTGTTGGGGCCATGTGCCACTTTAACTTGTATATTTACATGACTACAGCAATATATGTGTTTACATCAGCATTTCTCTGTGTGTGTCTGTTAGTAGAACTGTTTCAGATCATAATCGACCAAAATCATCAGCCCCGGTATATTATTTTTAATTTCTAGTTACCTTGATAACTATATTTCCATCAGAGGTTGAATCAGTACATGTTGACGGAGCCCTTCTTATTTGGTGTTATATTCAACTTCGGATAGAAGGGAAATTATGAAAACCAACCTTTGCTTTCCACTTGGCTCATCAAGGCATCTCTTCTCTAATTTTGTTGAAAAGAATGAATGTGGCTTTTGTTGCGGCCAAAGTCAAAATTTGACTTTTGGGTGTTGTCATGACTGTGTAACGTTCACTGACTGTTCATGTAGGAGTTGGATATGGAAAGAAATTGTTAAGTAGAATAATATGCCATTTTGTGGACAGCAACACGGAGTTGAAGGGACATAAGTTTGTGAAGAAAACATGGCAGTTCATTTGTGTCAATGCATTTGTTTCTTATTCTGTTTCCTACTGAGGCCCTTCTGTCATTTATCAAGGTAATATACGGGGCTGGCTTGGTAGTCCACATTGGTACTTCCACAAAACAACAGGTTAGTTTCAAGTATACTTATTCTTTAGCTTACAAATTTTGATGTTGACTATTTATTTTGTGCAATTATCCTAGATGTGATCCTTTTGTGCCCCTGCTCAATATTTATACCCCGGCATCAAGCTTCTGATGAGATTGACACACAAGATCTTCAGGGTAGTAGACAAACAGCATCTTTCTACATATAATGGAGAACTTACTTGACGTTTAGTATTTTTAAGAATACTATTTCTTTTCAATAAATTCCATTAAAACTCTATCTGAAAAACACAATGTTTGATGATGTTTCTACTTATTTGACCGATGCTTTTTGTTCCATCATTTAGTGTGTGAATCATATGGCTGTGAAAATAGCTATGTAACTTATGAAACGCCAAGGTGGTTGTGTGGGGCAGTGTCCAGACACCAAGGTGGTTGCATGGGGCAGTGCCCAAGACTTCTCTCATGGTGTCACCAAGGTGGTTGTATGGGGCAGTGTCCAGACACCATGGTCGATGTATGGGGCAGTGTCCAGACACCAAGGTGGTTGTATGGGGCAGTGTCCAGACACCATGGTCGATGTATGGGGCAGTGTCCAGACACCAAGGTGGTTATATAGGGCAGTGTCCAGACACCAAGGTGGTTGTGTGGGGCAGGGTCCAGACACTAAGGTGGTGGTACTGGGCAGTGTCCAGACACCATGGTCATTTTATGGGGCAGTGTCCAGACACCATGGTCATTTTATGGGGCAGTGTCCAAAGACGAAGGTGGTTGTATTGGACAGTGTCCAACAGTTAGTTAGAGCATCTAACCTGGTGGTTATCATTTTTATCAACAGCTAAGATGCATGATATTATTTGTTTATGCAGTGCAATAGTACTGAAGAAAATGTATATATAATTTTGATACCTATTAACTTTCTTACTGGAATTAGATTTTTAAGATGTTTCTAAAATTATCATGTAGCACGTGATGACTCATGAAAGTTGTTGATCTTCATGAAATTTACAGATGATCATGAAAATAATATGTTTCTACTTCAGCATTAATGACTTCATAATTTGATGCCAAGATTATCACAAAGTTGATTTTATTCATTTATGTTATATCTTTCACAATACCAGGAATATTCTTTGATAAGGTCAGTGGTGTGTATAATCTAGAAATTTGATATCAGTTATATTTTATCCTACACCTCTTCAAAACTTCATCACAATTATTATGCATAACAATTAGGAAAATAAATCATGGTTATCATTAAATCACATCGTATAATTCTATCACATTTCATGACCCTAATACTGAATATACATGATGAAAATGTGTTCCTGTAATTCATCATGTACCAGGCTTAGAATTAACAGAATAGGCTGAATATATTTTACAGTTATGCATTAAAATGCACCATTTATCACTTACCAGATGTATAGTCAGTTAATATATTAGACAGCTGTAGTCTTCCAGTTACTTTCAGGCAGGACCAATATGTATATAGGTACCAATATAGATATATGTACTGAAATAGCTTTAGAAGTCACATCGTGAAAGAATCATCAAAAACAACATTGTGGACCAGAAACTGGTGTTGTATGTAGTGTCAAGAAGGCTACAGAGACCTTCATTGTGAAAAATACTTCTTTTACTTAAATGGAGGACAGGAATCCATGCCTACCAAGGATAATTGTTTGTTATATTATGCTTAACTTTGACACTGATTCTGAGACTGTTTTATACTGATCATATGTAATTTTATATATTTTAACTTCAAGGCAGTATACCCATCAGAACTCTTACAATATCAACAAATGTTTAGGAGAATCACACGTACCTGTTCTAGAATACATTGTAGCATCATAATAGGTGAAATATACATTTGGAGAAACAAAATTATTAGTAAAAAACAGAAAGATTGGATACTGTTTTCTCTGCCATAAGTACAGTTGTTAGGTCGGATGTCTTCCACAACACCAGTGGATGAGGAATTCCCATTGTTCATTTTCAGGGCAGGTATATGGAGCTCCTCGGCCTGCTGTCCATAGTTCATGTCTTTCATCTCCCTCTTGGCATAATGTCAATGTTGATATCAGCGTCTCTCAGAGACTTGTAGATTCTGTGTATATTACTGCATCTGTCCTGTGTTTTCTATTGAACATATCATGTAATTAACAACAGTTGTATGTATGAGCAAAACCTACATAAATATATGAAATTGTACTTTTTTGGTGTCTTGTTTTCTAATTACTGAAGTACGACCTCAGTAGATGTTTGTTGATGGATTCTACTTGAATACATTGATGCCCTTATTCCAGTGATCACAAGGATTGTCAATAAGAGTCTATCAACAGGAATAGTTCCTGTTAATCTCAAAGAGGCAGTGGTCAAACCTCTTCTAAAGAAACAGGACTTAGAGGTGTCGATCCTCAGTAACTACCGTCCTGTGTCTAACCTATCATTCCTTTCAAAAGTGCTTGAAAAGGCTGTGAAGTGTAGACTCTCCTAACATCTTGACAGATTTGACTTACTGGATAAGAATCAGTCTGCATATAGGCCAGAACACAGTACTGAAACAGCGCTGCTTCGCATTATGAATGATTTGTTGACATCTGTGGATGGTGGGTGTGTTGGCTTGTTGGTATTGTTAGATCTCTCGGCAGCATTTGATACCATCGATCATGAACAACTCTCAGCAACACTGAGGGAGTCAATAGGTATTGATGGAACTGTACTGAAATGGTTTATGTCATACCTTTCTGGTCGAGTCCAGTCAGTTTGTATCGGTGACTCAAATTCTGAAACTGCCATCTTAAAGTATGGTGTTCCTCAAGGATCTGTCCTTGGGCCCATCCTATTCACACTGTATACTTCTGATCTGGGCAAATCTCTTTCAACCTCAAGTGTAAATCATCATATGTACGCAGATGATACACAGTTACTTAAAGTTTTCTACCCCCCCAAAATGCATGCCACTCAGTGACTGAACTGGAAGTGTGCACAGACAGGATCAAGTCCTGGATGACTATGCACAAGCTGAAACTAAATGACAGCAAAACAGAGGCTCTTCTAGCAGGAACGGTTGGCGACAGGTGTGAAGACCGTTCGAGTAGGAGACTCTGAGATTACAGTTTCGGGAATGTGTCAAGAATCTTGGTGTGGTTCTTGACAACAGTCTATCAATGGATGATCACATATCTAAAATCTGTCACTCTTGCTATTTTCATCTAAGGAATATTGGTTCCATTAGAGATCTTCTCTCTACTGATATGGCACATATGCTAGCAAGAACACTTGTATTGACAAGACTCGAAAGAGGAAGTGTGCACATATAACACCAGTGCTAACTTCCCTACACTGGCTCCCAGTCCAAGCTCGAGTCCAATACAAGATTCTCACATTGACATATAAATGTGTCAATCAACCAGCTCCTGCCTATCTGACAGAATTGATTGAGAAATATGAACCTTCTCGGACACTAAGATCTGCTGATAAGTTACTTCTTAAAGTACCCAAATCCGGCCTCAAAAAGTATGGACAGAGATCATTTGCTTACATGGCCCCAACTCTGTGGAACGATCTTCCCTTGGGAATGAAGAAATCCCCATCATTGACAATCTTTAAAAGCTGCATAAAGACTCATCTCTTCCAAAAGTTCTATAAAGATTGATATACCAGTGAAAATATAGCACCTCCACTGCAGTGTTTTTTTAATTTTGTGTAGCGCCATGAGCAGACACCAAGTGCCTGGAGTTTTGGCGCATAACAAATCTTCTGTATTATTATTATTATTATTATTATTATTATTATTATTATTACCCAGTTGTCTTGACACCGTGTGGCAACACCCAGCCAGCTGACCCAGAATACCTACAGATGTATTATGTCATGAAACACAGAAAACAGTACAAGAGAAATCTGTGAGACTGTATTTGAAACAGTTTATTGATACAATACTACTTGTACTAGGGTTTACTGAAGGGTATATTTTCCACAAATCTCTGAATCATGTCAAGTGATCTCCTTGGTTGGTCATGTGGCAAAATATGGCCTCCATCACGCACTACAACCTGCAATTGGAAATACTTTCAATGTATGTACAAACTGCTCCAAGCCATTCCAGTTGATCATTTACAGCACTGGATGTTGGAAATATAGACAAGTAACACATCATCATTGGTCAGTATGCAGACACCAGAACATATGTATGTTCAGATAGGTTCACGGACAATTGCCCCTGGTCAGTTACCGCTTGGGATAATTACTACTTGGTGAATAAACTACAACAAGCAGAACTATTCTGCACTGTGAGAAAAACCAACACAAAATCTGAACAATTTTCATATTTTCTATGTGAATCGTATGTGTCATGGGGAGATAAGATTACTGAGCGCAGAGTTGCTGGTTACTTAAAGTAACAGGAGTCCCAGTGACAAGACTTAGTGTCCTGAGTAGGAAGTGTCATGATGGCAGATGTCCTGCTCCAGTCCAGAAATAACCTAGGGATTCCGTGTTAGACCCCTAACAGTTTGGACATTTCAGGGTAGTGCAAGGTCTAAATATTCTTTGATCATGATACAGGAACAAGTACATTTGCACCTTAAAAATATATGTATGTGGTTACATTTTACTAATCTCCATGCACAAGGGACTTGCTCAAAGCGCAAATACTATTACCCTGTCAATGGATCAGTGTGCACTACAACCCAGGCTGCCTGTGAAAGCTAGTGGGTGAACAGTCATTTGGCCATCTCATCCCACCAGGTAGCCATTCACTGCTGGGGGAACAGAGGCAATTTTAAACAAAGTCATTTGCCTCATGTATTACACCAGCAGGACTTGAAGTCCTAGAAACTCTCAGGAGTCAAGCTGCCAAACATGGTCACTCATCCAAGGACTCTCCACGATTAACTTCAACCCAGTTGTGACCTTTGCTCTTTGCAGAGGACCAAATACTACCACCTTCATGATCTGGTGCTGTTGGTGGTCTTGTCTGTGTTTGAACCTACCTGGTAGAAGTTGTCGACCTGTCGGACGTAGCCAGCTACCTCATCATCAGAAGCATTAACCTTCCACACTGTCCTGTTGGCAGCCTTGTACGCCTGCAGGCCCCGCCATTCCACAGTCTGCAGCATGGCTTCAGTCAGAGGATTGGCCACAACGATGTCCAGCTGCCCATTGTACAGCATCACCTTGTACATAGAGGAGTGGAATGACCAGGAGTTGTAGATAATGTTTGAGCTGCTTCCCTGACTTGTAGCAGAGGTCAAATCCACGATATGTCCTAATTTGAAACATGTTCTCAAAACGTAGCATTTTCTGTCCAGTTAGGATGACATACTGTGATGTAAAAAAATGCCATTTTACAAAGGCCATAAAACCATCTGACACAGCATCAGTATCAGAACAGATTACCCCTGTGTGTGTTTGTTTAAAAGTGTAGTGAGAGTGCCGTCAGTTTTTTGTCCTTGTCTACCATAAGCTGGAAAGCCTGAGTTTAAAGTAATGTGAAGAAAAACAGGGTTTCCGACATTCAAGGATGTACAAAATGAGTGGATATACTGGTATATCATGGTCTTATTAACTTTACTTGACTCATGCGTTTCCGACTCTGCAGATATGTTTCCAGTTACATTACACCCCTGAAACTACCTCTTGTGCTATCTGTCAGTTTCGTCCAGTTCTCCCCAACGACGTAACAAAAATCTTATCCAACAAAGGTGATATATATGTAAATCTCTGTTACCTGTAGCTTAAACAGCATTTCATTTCTCATTCACTCAGCATACCTTGTAGTTATCCATGATTGTTGCCAGCCAGGGTTTCACAGACATCATGAAATCATCACCGAGATGCATCGACACCTCAGAACCATCATGAAAGGTAAGATTACCAACATGAATAGCATTTCTTGTCTCTGGGCGTGCTAGGAACAGTGGGTAATAGCTGAAGTCTTTAGGATCCTGCAAATACCAACCAATGTACCACCCATAAGTACTACTATGTGCCTTTAAATGTGCATGTAGTATTAGCTCGGATAGTTTTAGCACGTGTGTGTGTGACCAATTAAGGCTATAAATGTCATATACAATATGTGATGAAAGTGACAGAGTGGCACAGGGTGGCTGACAAGACAATGTACACTGCGGTAGTGATAAGGATTAAGGCTGCAGATTTATAGCGTCATATAAATAATTACACTGACGTCTCACATGGCTTGGCTACATAGTTTTTGGTCTTTATGATGGCTGTCCTGAATTAGACGCTATGACAGTACACGTAATTAACTATCTGTAAGACTGCATTTATCATGTACAAAGCATCAGTTTCGAAATGACAACCATCTTGTCTTAGTGTATCTTAGTAATCTGTTTAAAAAGAATTAAATGGTGACAGTGTGTGATATTTGGACCAGTTGTCGTGTTTTGATTATATACTGAATATCATTGAAAACGCACCACTTATAAAAGTTCAGAGTATTAAAAGCACGTGTAAGGAATTGATATTTTTGAGTGGATAATAACAGATGGACGGCTGACAAAAACAACAACACAGAAAAGACGCTCATTGATTGAAATGTTCCACAGCCAGAAAGGATCAAACACACGTGGGGTCAAATCGAAAAGTCAATATCGCGTGTGACCGCCATTTCCATTGACACATGCAGTTTTAACGTCTCCTCATTTCTGTAATAAGCGTCCGAATAGAGTTCTTGAGGATGGCATTCCACTTCTGCAGTAGTGCAGCCTCAAGTTCTCGGATGTTTCGCATCTGTTGTCGCCGCGAAAGACTTTGACCAATTTCGTCCCACAAGTGCTCCATGGGGGATACATCTGGCGACTGTGCTGGCCAATGAATAACCTGGATGTGTTGCTGGGTCAGATACTGCATGGAAAGTCGTGTGTGTGCCCGTGCGTTGTCCTGTTGAAAGTTATGGACATCTTGGTGGTGATTGAAGACAGATACGATGTGATTCTGAAGAATCTGCTCACGGTAATAAAGGGCATTAACTCTCCCTTGACAGACATGAAGGCAGTCCTGTGATTGTAATTTATTCCACCCCAGACCATGACACTCCCACCGCCCAAAGGTCTGTCTGAACCACACACTCATCAGAAAAACACGTAATCGGCCGTCAGCATTACGTAGATGAAAACGTGACCCGTCAGTGACTACCACACCATGCAATTGTTGTAACCTTTACTGAAAATACCTGCTAGCCCATTGTATACGCCCATTACGGTGTCTGTCAGTCAGAATTGGTCCAACGTAAGGACGTCGAGAATGGAGCCCTGTACCGTGTAGACGGCGTCGCATGGAGTCAGCGCTGATGACCCCCACGTCAACCTTGAACTAGTGCAGCAGTCCTGGCAGTCGGCAGCGTTCAATCACTGATATGGACAAGGTCAATATGGCGATCCTGATGGAGCGTCGTAACACGTTGTTGCCAAGGTCATTGAAGGTCACGGGTGCTGCCTGTCTACTGATGTCGTCTATGAAGCCTAACGATGGTTGAGTGGCCAAGTCCAAGTTGTCGAGCAATATCCCTGCTGCTGGTGCCAACCTGAATCATGTTTAGTGCACGTTCTCTTTCGTGAGGTGTTAACCTCGGCATCTCTGTCCTAGTTTCACAATCGTTAGTGAAGCAATGAGAATCGGTTCTCATACACCTGCTTTTAATGTCACAGTCAGTATGATTTCAGAATGAAATTCGCGCTTTTTTCATGGCGTGGCTGCATGTTGATGCATTTTGGAATTAAGAGTCATACTGTGGACAGGAATTTGTTTCTCAAGCAATTTTTCAACTGGACATGCCCTTCGACTTCATGTTAGTTATATTCATTGATCATTGTCATGCTGAAATCCATCTTGATGAAAGTATGGACAATTTTAGACTGGTGCGTTTTCAATGATGTTCAGTATATTATTATTATATTGTGTCACCTTGCGAATCTGAAATCTCTAATACATCATTGCCTTAAATCCTGTAATTTTCTGTCATCCAAACATAAAATCTTCAGATTTTCGACAGAAGCCTATTTGACAGTCCATAATCCATAATCCTCTTGCCAATATGCATTTGAGGAATCTCTCAATGCTAGTGTGAACTTTGAACTCTGGTATAACATGTTACTAGAGTAGTTCCTGTGCTACAATTAGATCTACAGTATAAATACTGGTATAGATATAGTATAGGAAATAGTTCAGATCTACAGTATACAGACTAGGACAGATCTACAGTATAAGGACTAGTATAGATCTACAGTATAAGGACTAATATAGATCTACAGTATAAGGACTAGTATAGATCTACTGTTTAAGAAATAGTACAGATCTACAGTATAAGGGCTATTCGTGTTTGTATTATTCTGGGTCACCAGCACAGTCTCCACGAAGCGGAAAATGGATATTCCTGAATGCAGATGAACATTGAGTCTATTATTTAAACAAACTTGTGAATTGTGTTGGTTGATCACGCCTCCCTCTGAGCGAAACAGTGCCCCCCCCCCTCCCCAACATTCACTAATAAATCACCTCTACGTTGACAATAGGAAAGTTCTTTTTTGTCATGTGTGTTTTTACCACTAATAACCCCTTATACAGATATGGGAAATGTAGATCACTTACGTTCGTAATAAGATAATTGTAGAATTGATGGAGTCCACTTTCTTTTCCAGCCAAACCAAGCGTTGTGCCAAATAGCTTGAATAAAAAACATAAAGAAATGACAAAGTTAACTCTAGTGCAATGTCTATCCATTCTCCTGTTAATGATTTGCAGAAAAACAGAAATGATCATGAAATCGAAATGTGTACACTATCAGTGTGACCTCTGACCATACCTGGCGAGCGTCCTGATACCTGCCCTCCCTGATGTAGGCGGCCATGTCCTCTCCCCGGGCGGTCATGTATTCTTCCTGGTTCTCATCTATCAGTCCCAGATAAAACAAGTACTTGCCATACACAGGCATCATCTAGTGGAAAAGGAGAATGTTCTGCATCAGAGAAAGGATATAGACACTCGTGGACTCAACAAGTTCATATTGCTAGGCAAGTTGGTCTGACCCTTACACAACTGGAGAAGCTTAGATGGCGCGAACTGAGATGAAGGTGCTGAGGGTGTAGATGAACAGAACAGGAGACACAGATATTTTCGTGTCCCAAACTGGTAAATGTCTAATTACTTGAACCTTCCCAAGTGTTTTGTTGATTCCCTGGTTCAGTCTGGCAGGAATCAATGTTACCTGGTGATTCATACCAGATATATCGTCACCTAACCAAGTAACCACCTTCCTTTATTCGTTCAAGAAATATAGCAATGTATCGTCAACGTATTCTATTTCCTTACCTCACCAAGAGATCTCCATCCATATTTCAATCCAGAGACCACTTTTACATAGCAAGTACACATTATGAATATGTAGAGGTTTTAGTGATACCGAGCAGCTGTTCAACAGATGCAGATGCATCTCAAACTATTCTTTAAAAATTCCCAAAACATAAATGAATGAATGGATGTGAACTTTAAACGGAACAAATCCTTTTCACAAACGGTAGAAGATACTCAGAAAATGTTCAAGAGATCATTTCTACAATGTAGGCGATATTTGTTTCCAGTAATATCTATATGATAAAAATGCACACATTTGAAACACCTTACAACTGGTAGTGCATTATGGCAGTAGTTGTTATAACCGCTTGCAGGTTTGGATCAGTAGTGCATATTACTACCACGATTTGTCAAACATTAACATGACGAGGCATATTGCAAATGAGTCTCCCAAACCGATTTGAGGGTATCTGTCCCGATCCTCTGTCAGTGCCTGGCCAAGTTCCTTCATTGTTGTCGATGGCCTATGGCCGTGACGCACACAAACGTCCCAACACATGACCAATGGCAATTACCCTACATTGGACTATGTGTACACCGTTGACGTTAATTTGCGATGTGACGATATGTCAAGGGTAGCACAAGGCATGGCAATTCGATTCGACTCGATTTGCCGCTTGAGCTCGATTTCGTGCAGACTGATTACAGATCGAGTCTGTACGTTTGTCGTTGCTGCTGGACGCCCTACACAGGGTCGATCGTCAATATTTTGAGTTTGGTGGTACCTGTACCATAGTCCGATAATCACAGACCGTGATACTTTCTACGAATGGCACACTGACACCAGTCAGATTTCAGCATGGCATTAGCCAGAAGACACTCCACACATCAAGTGCATAATTAATTACGAGGACGATCAATTGTGAGTCAAGCCAAGGCATCTTTTCCTTCGGAAATTTGAAAACATTTTTCCAGCATTGAAGTTAGCCTACTGAAGCAACTGCAAACCATGAAACGGTGCTAACCGAGTTAGTTGCACTGTAAGAGATTACCAGATTACAAGACCGTACATTTTGGACATTGGTATGTTACGGAAGGCCCGTGACCATGTCATTGACATGATTCCAAACACACCAACACCGACCTGGAACAACTTTGTAGCTTCTGTGGCACGGACACAGTGGTTTGAGTACATTTGTGAAACCCTCGCTGCTTTGGAGATTGTTGACATAAATGTCTACGGTGAAATAATCTTGCATTAATTGGCAAGTTTTCCCGTTCAGAGAAACACGAAAACGCCAGGTACAGTACATGTAGTCAATGTGTGACGGTCATAGGTACAATTGTCCCCTTATAGTGCTGGATGACTCCATGTAGAGATGACCAAAAGGAGAAGAATTTGTCAACACCACAAGAAGAGGACTAAACCATATTTTGTAATGTCATAATACTTGATTATCTCCCTTTTCACACTACTGATAAAGGATACAGTTGAATTTCTGCTGTGTCTAAAGATAACTTGCTTCACAACAAGTATTATGGCATTATTTGGATTATTTTTGTTTACTTTGATTCCAAGGAAAACATTCTGTTTTGTGAAATATAACGGAATATTCAAGTCAGTTAAGAGCCATGACTGGATGTTTTTCCAGATATCTTGAACAATTTCACAGTCCTAAAATATATGGGTAATTTTTAAAAAATATTATTTATTTTTTTTATTCCATTTCAAGTCTCACATAAAATACATATGGCAAAGAGGACAACATCCAAATATATATGTATATAGCTTCAGTGATGTTTTGCAAGGTTATATATGACATAAAAGACAGTATTACATACATATACACACACGCGCACACATACATATATACATATACATACATATGCACATACATACACGCATGTATACATATATATAAATATAACATCATGAGATTACAACAATTATACAGATACATAAGATGTCATTAAAGTTTCTGTGGAGGGAATATGAAATGGGAGGGGTAAGGTTGAATAGTATGGTTGTAGTGAGTAGGGTCTGGAAGTCTCAGCTGATATTATAAGTAGAATTTAATGTTTAGCACATAATTAGGTATATAAATGTGTCCATTTCCTTATAAAGGGATCTAAGCTATTGTTTTTCCTAGCTATATATTTTTCAGTTGTATATATATATTTTAATAACTTAAGAAATCCCTAAAGGGAAAGTGTTTGTTGTTTTAAACTTGAAACATAAATGAATCTTTTGGCAAGAAGTATAATATGGTTTAGTATTTTATTGTTTGAGAACATTCCAAACATGATAGTGAATTTTGTAAATGTGACATCACACTGGAGGTGGGCATTTAGAAATTGTTCTACATTTCGCCAAAAGTTTTTAACTAAATCACAGTAAAAAAATACATGCAATATGTCTTCCGAGGTATTTTTACAAAAAGTACAAGTATCATTATCAACTAGTTTCATCTTCAATAGTTCTTTCTTTGTATAGATTATTCTGTAAATAAATCTGTACTGAAAATCTAACAGCTTACAATCATTTGTGCATTTCCTGTAATATCCGAATACATTACTCCACATTATATCCTGCTGAAAGACAGTTTTCCAATACTCTAGTACTTTAGGGGTATCGTTGTTCTTAATCAATTTATCATAGAATATCCTTGAACCTTTAATATTTGAGATCATATCTAGGTAAACTCTATTAATGTTTAATTGATTTAAGCAGAGAGTTCTGTTTCCTACAAGTTGTCTCCAGTTCATTGGAATGTTATTTAACAAATGATGATAGTCTAAGAAGGTTCCGCTTATTTTGTACCTCTGTTTTACATCTTTAAAACTGAGAAATCCATTTTCATTACAAATATCGTTGACATAATGTATACCGCACTTAAACCAATTTCTTATCATGTATGAAGATTTAAGAAATGGTTTAACCAGAGTGGCTGAGCTAAGATTTGGTCTAAGTCATCGCTGTCAAAGGTGTGTTTTTTATAAAATATTCTCCAAGCAGATAAAACATCTCTCCAATAGGGATTATCTTTGCCAGATAAGCAATCAACAGCATTAGAACCTAGAAAGTACAGTTGACTTAAGGGAAAAATGCTATTAAAATTTGAAGTTTTCTTTAAGTGACATTTCAGTGATGATAATTTCGAAGCGTTAATGAAACATTCAATGTCCATCATTCTGAGGCCTCCATCTTCGTAAGTTCTACTGATATTAGACCTTTTAATCTTATCATTTTTATTATTCCATATGAATCTATAGATTATTTTACTGAGTTCATCGATGAATGTTTTTGGCGGGTTAGGAAGTGCTGAGAAAATATGTACTGGAGTAGAAATTGCTAGAGTTTTGCTAACAGTGATTTTCCCGATTAGAGTCAGGTTTCTTCTTCGCCATCTAGCAAGTAATCTATTAATATGTTCTAGGCGTTTTCTTGTGTTAATTACCCAAAGGTCTTTAAGAGAAGCATTAAGTGTTATTCCTAAGATTTCAAAGGTCTCCACTGTGCCTGTCAAGATAAAAGTGATTGGATAAAGTTATATTACTACCTGTCATTGAGCCTATCCAGATAGCTTTGGTCTTGTTTATGTTCATTTTGAGTCCAGACATTTGATAGAATTTATTCAGTGTTTCAATTGCAACATTGAGACTTGTTTCAGATCCATCTAGAAATAGCTGTGTATCGTCCGCATATTGTCCGAGTTTCTGTTCTGTATCATTAAGTGTTATACCCTTTATATTAGGATTCGACCTTATCATAATACCTAATATTTCAACGCCAAGAATAAATAAATGAGGTGAGACCGGATCTCCCTGTCTACACCCTCGTTAGGTTGGGTAGGTTGATGTACAGAGTGATAGTGATTAAAACAATATGCAGAATGAGTTTATACAATAGATGAGTTGATGTACACTGAGATGGTAATGTGAGTTGAAGAGAGTAGGTTGATGTACACAGTGATTGGTTGTGATTACCTACTCTCTTCAACTCACATTACCATCTCAGTGTACATCAACTCATCTATTGTATAAACTCATTCTGCATATGGTTTTAATCACTATCACTCTGTACATCAACCTACTCTGCTCAAATCACTAATTAGCAATCCAATGTATATCAACCTTGTCAATTGTATATACACACTATACAGCTATGTATATATTCTCCATGTTACAACTCTTTGTATCACTTGCTTGATAACGGTGGAAGTACCTACACCGAAACGTCGCACCCATTGCAACAAAGAAGTTGACTATCCATAGAACTTTGTTTTCCTTCATCTATACAACTTCTAAAATGCCTCTCAAAGCAGTAAGGAATTGTTAAATTTCCAGACGCCTCGGCCACGAGGCATATTTGAAAGTGTGGGTAATAATTCTATCAGGGAGTTGTCAGATCCTAAACTAGGTGATATATCACAGTGTCTTATGGCTGATAGCATTTGATGAGAGATTAAAAAGAAGTAAAGCTTGTTTCAAAGGGGTTGGCTGTCGCCATGTATATCTCAAAATCTTTTGTTCACACCACGGGTCTTTAAGATCCAGATCTTCCATGAAACACCATCTTGATTTTCAGAATGTATAGCGTACAGTAACCAAGATTGGGCTGATAAAGTACTGTGGGTTCTTTTGATTTTTTAATGAAGCATCTTAGAATTCAGGTTAGTTGTTGAGGTTTGCTTCTAAAACCGTGTGTGTTGTCCAGCAGTAATGTCTCTTACATGTTGTAACCCAGGGGTCCAGTCGAACTGGGATTGTCATCAACATACTCACTGTCTCTGGATCACTGAGGCCATCTCCAATAGCCATCCCCTTCAAGTTGATTTTCACTTTAGCTGTTGGGTTCTCCATGTGGATCTTGTAGGAGATTGCGGGGACGTACTTCCCTGCATACGACTGGAATCACAGGTTACAGATATACACGATGCACCAAATAGAAACTTTCCCGTGAGATTAACGATTACTAAGTACATGAAATTGAAATTTCGTTCTGCGTTTCTTGTGATGTTTGTATGAATGTAATATTGCTTAGTGCCTGATGCTGACCGACGTTAGTACCGCCAACAGTGGTGACACGTCAATGTTGCATCTACTCGCCCAGACATACTGTTAGTTGGCCTCCAGACTTCAGGAAAACAAATACACATGAAAATCGTCAACCGTTAAGAACCACTTTCCACATGTTACGTTTACCTCTCCAGTAATGTAGAAGTCATTGCTTTGATACGATGAAAATATCTGAAAGAACTGCGTCAGACAGCTGTAAAGAAATAAATGTGTTTTGACTTTCATGACCAAGAGAATATTCGCCCCCATTCGTAAAAAGAGATTAGGAAATAAAGCTCACAAATACCCAATAATACTCAAATACTGCAAATGAGATTGGAACAAAACAACATAAGGACTTTTCCCAAATGAATATCGAAACCCCCGTCTTTCTGTAACAAACTAATCTCATAATGACGCATATTAAATGAAGCAAGTGAAAATATTCGCCTGTACACATTTAAATTGTTAGTTTGCAATCTGCTCGTGATCTGTAATTCGATTATTGTATTATCTTATAGAACTGGTCTTCTGTGAGCAAAATATTACACACGCAAAAAAGGAAAGAAAAAAACAGCAGTTCCTCATATAAAACTCAACTATCACGGTAGCAGCTCACGTAAAACGTCTTTGTCGACTGCAAGACTATCAACAGCTCATTTTGTTAATTTAGTAAAATAGCAGATCTGATTTCAAGGCTTGAGAATAATCTTGTGATTCACCTGTACAGGTCCCTGGCTACGTCTTCCTCGTTGTTGGCGTAGCCGGAATCTTCCCCCGTGAAGCTGAAACCTGTCCCTACCTGCAATAATAGTACTATTATGCTGCATGTATAATACATATTGTAGGATACACGATTTCATACTTATGAACTTTCTGTTATATATAGACCGTGTATGTGTGATGTTATGTCACAAAGGTGTCAATCTAATATATATTAGTAGGACGAAGGACTAAGGCTCCACTATTAATGTTGTTCCAGACACCGAAGACGATTTTGTAATGGGATTTACTGCAATGTCTCTTAGACCAGCCAAGAGGTTTCAGCTCAAATCATGGTCCCGCATCTACAGGGAGTCAGTCGTATTGTATGAAGATCATCTTTTCATGTTGATGAGCAACTATAGGTACTAGCCTCTTGTTAAACATGTGCAGTCTCTTAGTCATCATAGTCTTAGTAATATTTAACATGAGCAACTATAGGTATTAGCCTCTTGTTAAACATTTGCAATTTCTTAGTCATCATTGTCTTAGTAACATTTAACATGAGCAACTATAGGTACTAGCCTCTTGTTTAACATCAGCAGTCTCTTAGTCATCATAGTCTTAGTAACATTTAACATGAGCAACTATAGGTACTAGCCTCTTGTTAGACATTTGCAATTTCTTAGTCATCATAGTCTTAGTAACATTTAATATGAGCAACTATAGGTACTAGCCTCTTGTTAAACATCAGCAGTCTCTTAGTCATCATAGTCTTAGTAACATTTAACATGAGCAACTATAGGTACTACCCTCTTGTTAAACATCAGCAGTCTCTTAGTCATCATAGTCTTAGTAACATTTAACATGAGCAACTATAGGTACTAGCCTCTTGTTAGACATTTGCAATTTCTTAGTCATCATAGTCTTAGTAACATTTAACATGAGCAACTAGAGGTACTAGCCTCTTGTTAAACATCAGCAGTCTCTTAGTCATCATAGTCTTAGTAACATTTAACATGAGCAACTATAGGTACTAGCCTCTTGTTAGACATTTGCAATTTCTTAGTCATCATAGTCTTAGTAACATTTAACATGAGCAACTATAGGTACTAGCCTCTTGTTAAACATCAGCAGTCTCTTAGTCATCATAGTCTTAGTTACATTTAACATGAGCAACTATAGGTACTAGCCTCTTGTTAAACATTTGCAATCTCTTAGTCATCATAGTCTTAGTAACATTTAACATGAGCAACTATAGGTACTAGCCTCTTGTTAAACATCAGCAATCTCTTAGTCATCATAGTCTTAGTAACATTTAACATGAGCAACTATAGGTACTAGCCTCTTGTTAAACATCAGCAGTCTCTTAGTCATCATAGTCTTAGTAACATTTAACATGAGCAACTATAGGTATTAGCCTCTTGTTAAACATAAACATCAGCTCTTTAGTCATCATAGTCTTAGTAACATTTAACATGAGCAACTATAGGTACTAGCCTCTTGTTAAACATCAGCAGTCTCTTAGTCATCATAGTCTTAGTAACATTTAACATGAGCAACTATAGGTACTAGCCTCTTGTTAAACATCAGCAGTGCAATCTCTTAGTCATCATAGTCTTAGTTACATTTAACATGACCAACTATAGGTACTAGCCTCTTGTTTAACATCAGCAGTCTCTTAGTCATCACAGTCTTAGTAACATTTAACATGAGCAACTATAGGTATTAGCCTCTTGTTAAACATCAGCAGTTCCTAAGTCATCATAGTCTTAGTTACATTTAACATGAACAACTATAGGTACTAGCCTCTTGTTTAACATCAGCAGTCTCTTAGTCATCATAGTCTTAGTAACATTTAACATGAGCAACTATAGGTATTAGCCTCTTGTTAAACATCAGCAGTCTCTTAGTCATCATAGTCTTAGTAACATTTAACATGAGCAACTATAGGTACTAGCCTCTTGTTAAACATCAGCAATCTCTTAGTCATCATAGTCTTAGTTACATTTAACATGAGCAACTATAGGTACTAGCCTCTTGTTTAACATCAGCAGTCTCTTAGTCATCATAGTCTTAGTAACATTTAACATGAGCAACTATAGGTACTAGCCTCTTGTTAAACATCAGCAGTCTCTTAGTCATCATAGTCTTAGTAACATTTAACATGAGCAACTATAGGTACTAGCCTCTTGTTAAACATCAGCAGTCTCTTAGTCATCATAGTCTTAGTAACATTTAACATGAGCAACTATAGGTACTAGCCTCTTGTTAAACATCAGCAGTCTCTTAGTCATCATAGTCTTAGTAACATTTAACATGAACAACTATAGGTACTAGCCTCTTGTTTAACATCAGCAATCTCTTAGTCATCACAGTCTTAGTAACATTTAACATGAGCAACTATAGGTACTAGCCTCTTGTTTAACATCAGCAGTCTCTTAGTCATCATAGTCTTAGTAACATTTAACATGAGCAACTATAGGTACTAGCCTCTTGTTAAACATCAGCAATCTCTTAGTCATCATAGTCTTAGTTACATTTAACATGAGCAACTATAGGTACTAGCCTCTTGTTTAACATCAGCAGTCTCTTAGTCATCATAGTCTTAGTAACATTTAACATGAACAACTATAGGTATTAGCCTCTTGTTAAACATCAGCAGTTTCTTAGTCATCATAGTCTTAGTTACATTTAACATGAGCAACTATAGGTACTAGCCTCTTGTTAAACATCAGCAGTCTCTTAGTCATCATAGTCTTAGTAACATTTAACATGACCAACTATAGGTACTAGCCTCTTGTTAAACATCAGCAGTCTCTTAGTCATCATAGTCTTAGTAACATTTAACATGAGCAACTATAGGTACTAGCCTCTTGTTTAACATCAGCAGTCTCTTAGTCATCATAGTCTTAGTAACATTTAACATGAGCAACTATAGGTACTAGCCTCTTGTTTAACATCAGCAGTCTCTTAGTCATCATAGTCTTAGTAACATTTAACATGAGCAACTATAGGTACTAGCCTCTTGTTAAACATCAGCAATCTCTTAGTCATCATAGTCTTAGTAACATTTAACATGAACAACTATAGGTATTAGCCTCTTGTTAAACATCAGCAGTCTCTTAGTCATCATAGTCTTAGTTACATTTAACATGAGCAACTATAGGTACTAGCCTCTTGTTTAACATCAGCAGTCTCTTAGTCATCATAGTCTTAGTAACATTTAACATGAACAACTATAGGTATTAGCCTCTTGTTAAACATCAGCAGTTCCTTAGTCATCATAGTCTTAGTTACATTTAACATGAACAACTAGAGGTACTAGTCTCTTGTTAAACATCAGCAAGCTCTTAGTCATCTGTTACGTTTAATATGAGGAACAAATTCGGGAAAACTCCACGAATAGATGAATGGGCTTGTGAATGTAGTTTTAGGCCGCAATGATCAGTTTTCCTGGTGTTAGGACCAACCTACAGGGTTGTCAATATACAGCATGGAGTAGCGTGAGTTCCAGGTGATGTTGCGCCTCACCACTGTAAACAAAAATTTAGAGTTAATTCAACTCCTAAGGCATCGTAGTACATTTGACTTGCCTTGTTAGGGACGGGTGAGGTGAGGTGAGGTGAAATTGGGTTTAACGTCGTGCTTGAGAATATTTCGCTCATATGACGACGTGCATGGGTGTGTATGTGTATGTGCGGCTGCTTGTACTAGCCCAGACTTAAGCTGGTTTTATAGTGCTAGCACACTGAGATACCATGCCGCAGTGAAGCATGAATACCCCCTCAGACACATTATACTGACCTCGAGCCGACCAGTCCTTGTTGTACCCATTAATGCCGAGCGCCAGGCAGGGACCAACAAGTACCATATTTTAAAGTCTTTTGGTATGACGCGGTCGGGGATCGAACCCGCGACCTTCCGCTCTCCGAGCGGACGCTCTAACCACTACACCACGGAGGCGGTCCTGTTAGGGACGGGGTAGCTCCGGTGTGTTATTAACCAATAATAAAGAATCCTTTGTACTTGTACTCGGTTCAGCGTTGAGACAGGTACTGTTGAATAACTGTGTGCTTCACATCAAGGAATCGATGAATGGGTGACAATAACACTCAGGGCTATTATTGAATTAACATAAGTTGCGTCTTTGAGTGGTTGATGCAATATTCCAGCGTCCCACTTGGAAACACAGTCTTAGTATATCAGCGCCATTAGCATGCCCGCCGTACACTTCTACTTCCTGACTCGCTGGTTGACTGTCGCCTTCATATGCAACTGTTCTTGCGTTACAGAAATATTGTCCAAGTCACCGTTACCTCTGTCGTCTGCATGACTAAGAATGTTGGAGAAGCAATAAAATTATGGCTTACAGAAAGGACCAGGAGAAACTTACAGTTCCCGTGTTGATCCACAGAGAAGGGCCCATTCTCCACAAATAGACCAAAGAGGGAGGATCCGCCGGGTCCACCCTGGAGCCACACTAGCACGGGAGCAGTCTCGGGGTTAACCTGTCGTAAAGTAAAGAAACACACTGAGCTTACAAAATTAAAACAGATGATGTGAATCATAGGACAGATGTTTAATTTGAAGCATATGAATTATTGACGAAGGAGATGTAACAAATGCAGTTTTTGACAAGCCATGATGTACCAGAACGGTGAAGATCCTGTGTTTAAAATGGCATGATGTACCAGAGCTGTGTAGATCCTGTGTTTGATGGCATGATGTACCAGAACTGTGAAGATCCTGAGTTTAAAATGGCATGATGTACCAGAGCTGTGAAGATCCTGTGTTTGACGGCATGATGTACCAGAGCAGTGAAGATCCTGTGTTTGACATGCCGTGATGTACCAGAGCTGTGAAGATCCTGTGTTTGACATGACATGGTGTACCAGAGCTGTGAAGATCCTGTGTTTGACATGGCATGATGTAACAGAGCTGTGAAGATCCTGTGTTTGACATGCCATGATGTACCAGAGCTGTGAAGATCCTGTGTTTGACGGCATGATGTACCAGAGCTGTGAAGATCCTGTGTTTGACGGCATGATGTACCAGAGCTGTGAAGATCCTTTGTTTGACAAGCCATGATGTACCACAGCTGTGAAGATTCTGTGTTTGGCATGGCATGGCATGATGTACCAGAGCAGGGAAGATCCTGTGTTTGACATGCCATGATGTACCAGAGCTGTGAAGATCCTGTGTTTAAAATGGCATGATGTACCAGAGCTGTGAAGATCCTGTGTTTGACGGCATGATGTACCAGAGCTGTGAAGATCCTGTGTTTGACGGCATGATGTACCAGAGCAGGGAAGATCCTGTGTTTGACATGCCATGATGTACCAGAGCTGTGAAGAGCCTGTGTTTAAAATGGCATGATGTACCAGAGCTGTGAAGATCCTGTGATTGACATGGCATTATGTACCAGAGCTGTGAAGATCCTGTGTTTGACATGACATATGTCAGCTGTGAAGTTCATGTGTGTAACATGACATAATGCACAAGAGATGTGAAGATCATGTGTTGGTAATGACATAACGTATTTCAGGTGTCAAGATCCTATGTGTAACGTGGTATCCTGTACCTGAATTGTGAAGACACTGTGACCTATCTGAACTTTGAAGTGTCATTTGTGAGACATTACGTACTGGAATAGGAAGACCCTGTTCCACATACTATGGTGTACCTGTATTGGGAAGAATCTGAGTGTGACATGACATGCTATATCTGAACTATCAGAACTGCTTGCATGTAACATGGCATGACGTGCTTGTGTTTGACATGACTTGCTTGTGTGTGACATGACGTGCTTGTGTGCAAAATGACATGACGTGCTTGCGTGTAGCATGACATGACGTACTTGTGTGTGACATGACGTGCTTGTGTGTAACATGACACGACGTGCTTGTAACATAACATGATGTGCTTGTGTCTAACATGACATGACGTGCCTGTGTTTGACTTGACGTGCTTGTGTGTGACATGACATGAGATGCCTGTGTGTGACATGGCATGAGGTGCCTGTGTGTAAGATAACATGAGGTGCCTGTGTGTGAGATGACATGAGGTGCCTGTATGTAACATGACATGAGGTACCTGTGTGTAACATGACATGAGGTGCATGTGTGTAACAGGACATGACGTGCTTGTAACGTGACACGACGTGCTTGTGTGTGACCTTACTTGAGGTGTCCGTGTGTAGCCTGACATGAGGTGCTTGTGTGTAACATGACATGATGTGCTTGTGTGTAGCCTGACATGAGTAGCTTGTGTGTGACATGATGTATCTGAGTGAGACATGACATGACGTACCTGAGCCGGGAAGAACCAGAAGAACATGTTGCTGTTGATGGTCTTGTTGACAGTCAGGAAGCCGGAGTGACCCGGTTGGGGGATATAGGACCCTGTAGCACTCACCAGCCGGGCTGGAGACAATGGAAACGTTTACTGACTCGACCATCTGGAGAATATTGCACAAGTTTCTTTCTCTCTCCCTCTCACAAACACACATGAGCACGTTACAATGCTACTATGATTCCAGTAAAATCGATTGTGCACGCAATTGATACAAAATATCGTCCCTCAAGAAAATCCCTCACACCACCATTCATGCGGACGGTGGGATGTTTGTGCACTACCAAGTTATCACAACATCTCAGATATTGCAGATTGTTGGAACAAACAAATCTCCCGACGAAGTTGTTTTGAAACAGCACCTATGTTCAGCAGGTGACAACATACATTACCCAGCTTAATGTTTACAGTACCTTTCTCTGTGTCACCTCTCTCTATATACGGCGTCAGCATGAGCGGCTGTCCAGGGTCCACGCCGTTGTTGAGGGCATAGGGGTAGTGTTTCGGAAACATGCTCCGGAAGGGGTTAATCTGTATGGCCGGTGCCACTGACGCCATAATGACCAACACTTCCAACACTGTGGACTTCATGACTGATAGCTGTTCTGACTAATACAAATCTCTGTAAATGGACCGAGAATGTGAATCAGGTTAACTTAAAAGGCAACAATACAACATTCGTTATGGAGTATGTATGTTTTAGTGAGTATGTTTTCTGTTTCTTTAATGGATTTTCCAGGCAGTTCCCATTGGAGGCACAAATATGTTTTTCAAAATATATACATGCATATGCATTTCTTTGTGTGGCTGTTCGTTTCAATTGGAGACCAATTATAAACTGCCTGCTTCGAGGGAAAGTAGCCGATAGTAATTTGCAACTGAGATAGTAAGCTTCGTTTATATCATATAGTAATTCATTGTAAGCTACAAACGTGAAGATTACATGAAACATTGTTGCGTTGTGTGGACAGTAACATTACGAGGCTTCCACCAAAGGATAGTTTTATACAGAACACCTAGTAAACTTGGTAAACAAATGTGTTTTCACCCTGAGAAGAAAACGGAGAGAATACAGTGAAAATATCATTTAACAACAGACAGATCACTGACTCACCTTCTCAAAGTCAGATGACATGTGCCTTGTGATAAGATAAACCAGAGGGGTCGTCTCAAACTGGTTTGGGGAGAAAGATATGGGAGGTCAGACATTAATGTCCCGCACTTTGTAAATGATTAAATGTGTGATAAGTTAATCTCGCGTGGAACGTCCGTTATTGAGAACAGTGGCGAGGGTAGAATCTGTTCGGATTTACATAAACGAATTCTGCAACTGGTGTTTATACACTGTGACCCACTACTGATAAGGGTGTCAAGTTGATGGTATCCGAGATTGTCCTACTCCACTAACCCTTCAAGTTACAGGGCCTCGGGTTCGATTCTCGGTATTGAAAATGTGAATCCATTACTTGGATCATTGGCCGTGAGTAAGATGGGGCATAGAGATTATTAACCGAGTGTGATTCTGTATCATTAATATCATATATTAGGAATATAAATTGTATTATGCGAGCCTTTGGAAGGGGGAACCGTGACGTTATGTACACGTGCATGTTGCACGTGTACATAACGTGAAGGTTCATGCCACTTATGTTCTATAGCCTTAAGATCAGGAGGCAACATGCACGTGTACATAACGTCACGGTTCATCCCTCTGATGTTCAATAGCCTTGAGATCAGGAGGCAACATACACGTGTACATAACGTCAAGGTTCATCCCTCTGATGTTCAATAGCCTTAAGATCAGGAGGCAACATGCACGTGTACATCACATCAAGTTTCATCCCGCTGATGTCCAATAGCATTGAGATCAGGAGTCAACATGCACGTGTACATAACGTGAAAGTTCATCCCTCTGATGTTCTATGGCATTGAGATCAGGAGGTAACATGCACGTGTGCATAACGTCAAAGTTCATGCCACTGATGTTCTAAAGCATTGAGATCAGAAGGCAACATGCACGTGTACATAACGTCACGGTTCATCTCGCTGATATTCTAAAGCATCGAGATCAGGAGGTAACATGCAAGTGTACATAACGTCAAGGTTCATCCCTCTGATGTTCAATAGCCTTAAGATCAGGAGGCAACATACACGTGTACTTAACGTCACGGTTCATCCCTCTGATGTTCAATAGCCTTGAGATCAGGAGGCAACATGCACGTGTACATCACATCAAGTTTCATCCCGCTGATGTCCAATCGCATTGAGATCAGGAGGCAACATGCACGTGTACATAACGTCACGGTTCATCCCGCTGATGTTCAATAGCACTGAGATCAGGAGGCAACATGCACGTGTACATAACGTGAAGGTTCATCCCTCTGATGTTCTATGGCATTGAGATCAGGAGTCAACATGCACGTGTACATAACGTGAAGGTTCATCCCTCTGATGTTCTATGGCATTGAGATCAGGAGGTAACATGCACGTGTACATAACGTCAAAGTTCATGCCACTGATGTTTTAAAGCATTGAAATCAGAAGGCAACATGCACGTGTACATAACGTCACGGTTCATCTCGCTGATATTCTAAAGCATCGAGATCAGAAGGGAACATGCACGTGTACATAACGTCACGGTTCATCTCGCTGATATTCTAAAGCATCGAGATCAGGAGGCAACATACACGTGTACATAACGTCAAGGTTCATCTAGCTGATGTTCTAAAGCATTGAGATCAGGAGGTAACATGCACGTGTACATAACGTCAAGGTTCATGCCACGTATGTTCTATAGCATTGAGATCAGGAGGCAACATGCACGCGTACATAACGTTAAGGTTAATCCCTCTGGTGTTCTATGGCCTTGGGACCAGGAGGAATACCCCAGATGTGATCAGCTACAGATGATTCGATGCAGTTTGACTCGTGAATATCTCTGATGTGATCAGTTACAGATGATACGATGCAGTATGACTCGGGAATATCCCCGAGGTGATCAGTTATGGTTGATACATGCATACCAATATTTTCATAGCGCCATTAACTTCTTCAGTATTACAATGTATTTGAAAATGTCATAAATTTCGATATAGAATCAAGATGTGAGTCAACACATCTCCCGATAACAATGAAGTTACATACGACTCAAATGATTAAGAATGACCGTAACATAAAACACAAAACTGAAAAATCGTTTATGTTTGTCTGGGACACTAAAAAAACTACAACAATTTAGAGATAATTTACACTCTGATCCTGTACAAGAATTGCTAGATAAATCCCTAGATGCAGCATTATCAGACACGGATAGGAGTATTGATTATATCACAGATGCTTTACGTTTAGCAGCTTTAGATATGAAAAGACAAACGGGTAAACCATTGAAAGATAATTCAAATAAATGGTTTTATAGAGAATGTGAAAGATAGATGCAAATCATTAAGTAATTTTCGAAAAAATAAGGATAGGCAATCTCAAGACGAAAATCACAAAACTAGGAACAAGTACACAGCAACGTGCAAACAAAAACGAAATGAATATTTTGAATGTAAACAAAAACGTTTGGAAGACAGTATCAATGACTGAAAACAGTTTTGGCTGGAGTTTCAATCCGAAAAAGACTGAAAATAGTATATATATTGAAGAGTGGTATAAATATTTTGAAAACTTGTTTGCCTTCCCAGATAAGGACTCTGACTCCCACTATTCTCATGGAGCACCAGAAAGTAATTCTAATATGCCGTTTGTAAATCAGATTTTAGATGCACCAATAACTAGGGATGAGATAGTTGAAAGCATTCAACATCTCAAGTGCAACAAATCCTCTGGTATTGATGATACTATTCCTGAATGTTTTAAGTATTCAACGGATATATTCATACCATATTTGGAACTAACATTTAATGTTATACTCGAGACTAGTATTTTCCCACAATCTTGGTCAATTGGTGTAATTGTCCCCATTCATAAACAGGGTGATATAAAGAGTATGAATAATGACAGAGGGATTACCCTCCTTAGCATGTTTAGTACAATATTTACTTTTATCATTACTAAAAGACTAGTTCTATGGGCAGATACTTTGGATAAAATATGTGAGGAGCAAGCGGGGTTCAGAGAGGGATACTCAACAGTTGACAATATTTTTATTCTGCAAACAATTGTACAAAAATATTTAAGTACTAAAGGTGCTACATTTTATGCTCTTTTTGTAGATTTCTCGAAAGCATTTGACTCGGTAAATAGAAATAAACTATGGAATCTTGAAAAATTTTACGAATGCATGGTTTCAGTAGGTAAATGAATAAACTTTTATGCAGTATTTATGAAAATGTAAAGGTATGTGTAAGAAATAACAACGATGTGTCAAAAACGTTTACAAGCCAGTTAGGAGTAAGACAGGGCTGTATTTTCAATTTTCTATTTAGCTTCTTCATAAATGAATAAGCAACTCAAATTCATGAAAATTGCAATCATGGCATCCAACTACATCCTGATATTACGCATCTGCTTTTGCTTTTATTTGCAGATGATATCATATTATTTTCCAGTATTGTTAATGATCTACAGAGACAAATTGATGATTTAGAGAATTATTGTGATAATTGGAAACTAAGTGTTAACGAAGATAAATCGAACGTTGTAGTTTTGGTGGCAAAATATCGGGTAAAGAAAAAATGTTTTTTCAAAGGAAAACTTTTAAAAATAACATCGTTCTATAAATATTTAGGTGTTTACTTCACCAAAACCCTCTCATGGAATAGACACACTAAACAGGCAGCCATACAAGCTCAGAAGGTTTTTATTTGTATCTATAATGCTTTTGGAAATGTTTCATTTAAGCCGCCTTTTAAAATATTTGATGTTAAAATAAGCCCGATACTACTATTGATCTGAAGTCTGGGGCTTACAACATTTTGATGTAATAGAAAAAGTCCATGTATGTGTCTGTAAAAGATTTCTTGGCGTTAAGACAAGTACATTTAGTGTAATGGTTTATGGTGAATGTGGTTGATTCCCGATGCACATATTTTCTCAAGTTAAGGCTATCAAATACTGGTTAAGATTGTTGCAACATGCCTGCACATAGATTTCCCAAAATGTGTTACAATATGATGATAGTTTATGACAATAGTGGAAAAAAATAATTGGGTAATGAATATAAAAACATTGCTGTTTAAAACTGGTTTTGGTAACGCATGGCATGACCAAAACGTTAGTTGCTACCCTAATTTATCATGTCACTGACTCAAACACGTAAGGATATTTATGTGCAGACATGGCTTGAATCGCTGACACTATCAAATAAATGTTTCTATTACAAACTTTTTAAAGCGTAAATAAGTTTGGAATGGTACCTCCCTAAGATAACAGTGAAGAAGTTCCGAGTTGCATTATCAATATTTCGATGTTCATCTCATGATATATTGATAGAAACTGGACGCTATACTAATATCAATCGACAAGAGAGACTATGCCAACTATGTGATTTAAATACTGTCGAGGATGAGTACCATTTCTTTCTTGTTTGTCCGCAGTACTCAGATCTTAGAAGAAAATATTTAAATCATTTTTATAGATATCCAAGTGTTATTAAATTTATATCATTACTAACAAGTACAAAATTTTAATACTTCAGAATTTATCAATGTTTATATTCCATGCAACATTACAAAGAAAGAAAAATAATAATATTTAGAAAAAATATATAAAAGTTACTACTCGGGGCGAATATAAATGTATGTATGTTTTATGTACTATAGGCCTGTAGCCTCTTCAGTACGGAATAAAGGTTGAGTGTTATAGTGCCATTTTCCAGCTCAGCTGATCAAAGGCCCTCGATCATTGGATGTCAGTCTCAACGGCGCATCGTATTTTAAATCTCAATTCTTTGGGGATCATACAACTCCTGCAGCCGTTAGGCGCACTAAGGTAATGTGGCTTTCTCATCCTTACGAGATATCCTGGGTGGACTGGGACACTTAGTCACAGTACTTTGTCCAAGTTTACTGCACGTTGCTGTACCCGCCAATAGGTCTTTGCATATATTCATGTGGCCACCATCTGGTCATTTACCAACGGATTCGTGGGTTCTTGTTAAGTGCACAGGGTTGTGACAACACTGAAAGAGTCTGCACATGTTGACTCCAAAGTTTTTTTACACCCGGTCACAGGTGGACTCGATCTCGGCACCTTAAGCACGCTGTATCACTAGCCTGGCGCCTTAGCCAGTTCGCCCACCAGCCAGATGATAGAACAGTCAATTGCAAGTGTGCGAGTTGCACGTATGAAATTAAAATTTCACTACACACGCTTG